CGTGCCAGTGTTGCCTGCCTTCGTGGTGCCCGGCGGATGCGCCGCGTCAATGATCAGTCTGCTGTCCTCGCAAACGCGGAGTCTGCATTGATTTAACTTTCTTTGCAACTCCTGCAGTCTAGGTACTGAGTATCATTGTTATCTTGTGTGTGTAAGTGTATGTGTGTATGCGTGAGTCAACAGCTTTGATAAAGTTATTGTGTTTACCCCTCTTGTTTTCTCAGTATTGTGTTGCTTTTAATTTTTAATCTTGCCCGTAAAAGAGGCTGTTGTATGTAAAAAAAATAAAAAATAAAACCCATATTTGCGGGTATCTGTCCCGTGCCGTACCAATAATCGTCGTATTATGTATACGACTCCCTGATGTAGAGGGAGATGTGGAAAGAAATAGGGAGACGAGGAGGAAATTAAATTAGAATGGACACCGAATAGGTGATAGGATGCGTCAGCATAAATATACTTTGGAAGAGAGATCCCGTCGTCTCCAAAATAAGCGTGAACGAGCGATTCAGCGCCGGTCACAGGAAACGTCGGAAGAGAGAACCCGTCGACTCCAGAACGCCCGTGATCGGCAGAGTCCGCGCCGGTCCCAGGCAACGCCAGGACAGACATCCTCTCATTTGACTTAGAAAATCTCAGATTTTGAGTTTTTTGCGCTCCATACATAATTTTATTTTCATCATTTTATTGGTTTGGTGAGACTCCCATGAATGGCCATGATAGGTATCCATTTACCTCTGGAGAAGCCGTAAATAAACAAACAAAACGTCAGGACAGACATCCCGTCGAGTCCAGAACGCCCGTGATCGGCAGAGTCTAAGCCGGCCCCCGGAATCGTCAGGACAGACAACCCGTCGAGTCCAGAACGCCCCTGATCGGCAGAGTCAGCGCCGGTCCCAGGAGACGTCAGGACAGACATCCCGTCGACGCGCAGAAAAACTAAATCTGAAGCCTCTTTTGCCGTCGGACAGGATACGTATTTTAGGAGACTAAAGTTATGTAATGTGCTCCACAGGCAACCATGCATTCGGCGTCGTCATTGGCTCAACAGGTCAATGTACATGTACATGTATTACTACAAAAAGGCCAGAAAATCCGATTACTGTATTAAAATCAACTAATTTTCGCTGGCGATTTAGTTTCGCTGATTTCGCCGCTTGGTACCTACCGGCCAAAGTAAATCGCAGGCCAAAGTTTGTCATATAGGCAAATGATGCATGATTGACCAATGGATGCATGTGAGAGCAAAAATACCGATCGATTTCAAATTTAACGTGAAATTGCGCGTCACGTCGGAAATAACGGGCATCTTAACCTCTCTAAAAGACAGGTTTTTATTTCTCATCGGCCAAAATTTGTTGATTTACAGTATAAGGAGATAAAAGAAAAGAAGGAGCAAACCAAAAGTAGATGATTATTCCCGTAGCTATGCAGAAGACGTTACTTCAGTAACGTCTGGCGCTAGCCAGGGTCCACACAGCTTTAATTTGGTGTTTGTTTGTGTGTTTGTTTGTTTGTGTCACGCCTGGAGCTATCCCGTATCTGTCCCGTATCTGTCCCGTATCTGTGACTACAAAGGCTCTACAGGATTGTGCATAACAGCTGTCCACAATATTTGCGGGCTCCTGTATCTGTCCCGTACCGTACCAATATTCGTCGTATTATGTATACGACTCCCTGATGTAGAGGGAGATTTGGAAAGAAATAGGGAGACGGGGAGGAAATTAAATTAGAATAGACGCCGAATAGGTGATAGGATGCGTCAGCATAAACATACTTTGGAAGAGAGATCCCGTCGTTCCCAGGAAACGTCAGGACAGACTTCCCGTCGACTCCAGAACGCCCGTGATGGGCAGAGTCAGCGCCGGTCCCAGGAAACGTCAGGACAGACATCCTGTCCACTCCAGAACGCCCGTGATCGGCAGAGTCAACGCCGGTCAAAGGAAATCAAAGGAAAAAATATATCCATCAGTTCTAACAACATGCACGATGAGCTGGGCAACAAAGCATAGCGTAGGGCCCTGAGCTTGCAAGCTCTCTCGTTTGGTGTTTGTTTGTGTGTTTGTTTGTTTGTGTCACGCCTGGAGCTATCCCGTATCTGTCCCGTATCTGTCCCGTATCTGTGACTACAAAGGCTCTACAGGATTGTGCATAACAGCTGTCCACAATATTTGCGGGCTCCTGTATCTGTCCCGTACCGTACCAATATTCGTCGTATTATGTATACGACTCCCTGATGTAGAGGGAGATTTGGAAAGAAATAGGGAGACGGGGAGGAAATTAAATTAGAATAGACGCCGAATAGGTGATAGGATGCGTCAGCATAAACATACTTTGGAAGAGAGATCCCGTCGTTCCCAGGAAACGTCAGGACAGACTTCCCGTCGACTCCAGAACGCCCGTGATGGGCAGAGTCAGCGCCGGTCCCAGGAAACGTCAGGACAGACATCCTGTCCACTCCAGAACGCCCGTGATCGGCAGAGTCAACGCCGGTCAAAGGAAATCAAAGGAAAAAATATATCCATCAGTTCTAACAACATGCACGATGAGCTGGGCAACAAAGCATAGCGTAGGGCCCTGAGCTTGCAAGCTCTCTCGTTTTGATTCGCACGATAAATAGAGCACAATAAACGTTAACTTGACCGAAGGTTAAAGGCGACTGCAGATAGAGGAACACATCGAGGTACAGGTACCGGCATCAATACAGTATCAGAGAGAAACAAACAAAAATGAGAGGTACGCAGAAAAACTCTCGTAAGCCCAAGGGGAAGTGGTTGATGAGGGATGAATGCACTCTCCACGCTCGTCTACACTGTTCGTGGAAATGCACACATACAATAATATACAACATAGCAATAGCATGCACAGAACCGAACAATTTCATGTTCACACATGCAAGCACAGACATGAACATTAGTACCAAAAGCCGATACAGACAATATCCCCATACACACAGACGCACACACACACACAATGTCCCATGTATGCGCCCGTGGCGAGAAAAGCACGCAAATCTAAAAATGCACTGGATGTGAACCCACAGATTTTCTCTTATAGCAACGATAGCGGATCTGATTCTGAATGAAACACACACACAATACAATCATTGAATGCCCATCCGCAGATGATGGCAGGTCCTGAAAGAACAGGCAGTGTTCCAGTGATGGGGAACAGAACTTCGAGTGGCGAGTGAGGTATACACACACACACGTGCGTGCGCGGGCACACACCAAAGTATGAAGAAATAGAATCGACATTGTAGTATTCATTGGTTGGGGGAATGGAAAGGAAAATGAAACATTGCTGTAGGTTATTGTTGTAAGGACACTGGGAGCACAACAGAAAGGTAAGCAACTTGCTTTGAAGCAAAGAAAGTTATTATTCCACGGATCTCAGAAGGAAGGAACGTTCCAGAATGCTGCACTGGCAACAGGCGGCCTGCATGTGCGCGGCCCCTGCAGTCGGTCCAGCTGCCGGCCTTGCAGTGCTGAAAAGAATGTGCAGTACAGCATGTCACATAGTGGCGCAGCCTGGACAAATAGGCGCTGGGAAGTCCTAGTTATGTGCTCACCTACACCACGATGCACCAATCTTCTGAGCTACTTTGGCAACAACTTTGTCCACTTGAGACTCCCATGGGCTGAGCCAGTTGTTGAGGGCTGCATCAAGGTGGACGGCAATGACCGCTGATGGCAAGGCAATCCATGACACACAGTCACTAGGGCATCGTCAACATGGCGCTGAGGCTGGATCGATAAAATCAACCTTTAGGCTGCCGCTGGGTTGACAACGAGGCCGCTGTCTCGAAGCTAGTCAGTCAGCCTGGTCACCGCCATTGACGAACCAGCCGCCACCGCCAGCAGTGGCGGTAGGTTGTGACAAGTGTGGTGCAATATTGTCAGCAAATTCAGTACTCAGGATAAGATGAGTGACAAAGGGAACGTTGTGTTTGATAATATTGAAGTGAACAGGGATGATCACAAACCCTGCGCGTACTCTACCGTGAGTTACAAGAAAATTCCCGACTGGACGACGAGCAAACACCAACCTGCTACATCCAACCAGGCAGATACTATTACGATAGCTGCCAAACCAGGTCAATGCCGACCTACTGCATAATGTCAATGTCAAACAGATCCTGCAGGAGAAGACTGGGGTGTTGGCGTCCAGTCACTGAATGTACAGACACCAGTCACATTTCCTGCGTCTTTTGCAGCATACAGGATAGACTCATCACTGTAAAGTCCACTACTTCGTGATTTTTATTTGTAGAATACATGACAGGCGTATTCAGTGTGCCTCGCAGGACTGCGAGATGCTGCAGAAGACCAGGTTCGACCTTTCTGGACCGCCATTCACCGACGGTGGGCTACACGATGCTGGAGGAACTAGATTCCAGTGAAAACCCAAGATTCCTTTGCTCCTGGACGCTCCGACGTGTTGTGATATCTGCCAGGTGCGCAGTAACTAGTATTTTCATCGCTATAGCGAGGACGACGCCGATCGGCAAACTCTCGCTCACAGCCATCACCAGCCTCTCAAAACCATCACTTGGCATCCCCCAGAGGTATAGGAGAAAGCCAAAACAGCTCTCAACAAACAAAAGCTAAGGACGATGGAAAGAGAGCATGTCAAAAAGAAGACGAACAGTATGAAGTTCAAATGGGTTTGAACACTCGTTCCACCAACTATACCACTTTCAATAAATCGTGACGCCATTTTGTTTTAACATGAATATCGCGGATTCTAGAGCCTAGAACTATAAAAACTAATTTTTTACTTGCCAATACCATGAATACGATTGGCAATACTCTCTACGTATATCTATTGTACTTGTTGAGCACAGGGTCAGCTGCATGTGAATATGGCCCCATTCATGCACACACAAAATTGGACGGATTTTCACCTCCCATCATTGCATCAAAATGTCCTGCGAGCTCTCTCTCCCTCCGTCTCTGTCCGACTCACCTATTGTCATGATGGCAGCAAGCTCCGACACATCACTCGGAGCATTTGCTCAGTTATCCTTCCTTTCAGTTCGGCATTCAATCCAATAAAATTCAGCAGATTCTAGGGAAACAATACATGTCAAGACTCCGCTGCGGAATAGGAAAACCGACTACTTGAGCAAGAGCTGCCATATGAATGAAGCATTTCTAAGACATGCATCCTGGTGCAAGGACGATGTAGCATGTACGGCAATTTCAAGCATTCTACACCTACACTGATTATTAACAGTAGTATACAAATCCGCCCGAACACTGTACGGCGGTCTAACAATGCCAATCAATGGTAAACAATCTGAGACTAATTGATAAGAAACTCTTGAAATGGCCCGGTAGAAGCAATAATGAAAATAGATTTCTGTTGGGTTTTTTTTTGGAAGGGCAGGGGATCGGGGCAAGCTGAATGGCCACACCGCACGGATGCCAGGCTCGAAGTTGTGCCCACGACATACGCCACCAAAAAGCGTTGGCATACGATATGATACCCAAAGATCCCGCCGATATGCGACTAAACATTGGCCAGGGTGTGATTCGATGGAAAAAAATCATTTCACTCGTCCTTATGTTACTGTCCTGGCACATCAGAAATATCAGGCTGGCGTATAGACTAAGAAAGATGAGCACAACATGCTGGCAAGAAATCATGGTGCCTGCCAAAAATAGGGTGTTAACCAGCATCTCCCAGTGCAGACTTGCTATTGCAAAAAGAAGCAAATAGCTAAGCACACAGTCATTGGGTAATAAAACTCTGGTTAAATATAAAATACGACTAGTCGAGAAGGATGGGAGCCTGGTTCTATTGCCAATCACCACCGAGCAAGAAAAACAAAAACAAAGAAACCTGACAAATACTTGTTCAAGCAGGTTCATACAAGCCTAGAGTTAACCGGCATTCTATCCGCCATGCTATAGAACTGCGGGCTAATCGTCCTCACCGGCAATCTCATACTTGCTGCTCGGCAGCATGTCGATGGCATAGCGGAACTTTGTGTCGTACTTCACCCACTTTTTGGCTGGTTTGACTTGCACGGAGGGCACCTGCAACGACCAGACTGCCGTGCCGCTCACGCAGGACCCCGCCACGCCGTAGCGCATCACGCACTGCTTGTTCTCAAAGTCTGCACGCTCCATGCTAGGCGTCAGCTCCAGACGACACGTCAGCGTGGCATTGGCATTGCGCTCCGTCGGGAAGTCCTCAATGCGCCACACCAGCGCTTCACCCTCTGGCTCGTACTTGGCGCTTCCCACACTCACTGCACCAGGTCATGCAAGCACACACATGCACACACACACACACACACACACACACACACACACACACACACACACACACACACACACACACACACACACACACACACACACACACACACACACACACACACACACACACACACACACACACACACACACACACACACACACACACACACACACACACACACACACACACACACACACACACACACACACATACTAGTAAACAATCCGAGTTAAACTTTACATACACAATCAGTGTTTAAAAGATAGTGCGCATGGCTCTGTTAATAGACCTCCACTTATTATTATCCCTACACCAGCACTCCTGCCAACCTGTCTTATTATTACTTCGTATCATTATACGCACGTCCGCATTTACGTCAACAGTAAGTCCACGTGTTCGCATGTGCCAGAAGACAGAGCGGGCAGAGAAGAAAAGAAAAAATGTAAGATAACAGGCAATAGGCACATAACTCATGTTCGATGCACGCCAACCTGTCTACAGAGGGTAAATTGAGTTTCAGAAGGCACCATGATCATGGACAGTTTTCTATTTATGGATTACGGGAAGATTGAAGAACAAGTGAAATGGCACAGTCCCAGTGTGCATGCCTCATAAGCCCTAAAAAAGCTACACAGCTCGAAAGCCATCTACAATTGAAGAGTTCAGATGCAAAGCGCAACATTATTTGTTTTACTTTTCGGAATATGGGTAAAAGAGGATCACTTTTATATATGTGTGGTTTGTAAACTTTGTATCTGAACTCTTATTCGGGTATGATTTTTCGAGGTGGTTCTATTCAGATTTTAAACGTGAATTTTTCCCGAAGGCGACACTAGACCTATTGATCACACTGAGCTTGAAATCTCAATTTCTCAATTTGTCACTTGTCCCCTTTTCCATCATACTTTTCAATCCATAATCAACATTTCCTCGGCTAAAGGAGTAAACATCATGGTCTTACCATCTAGGCTGGCCGATGTAGTCTGCCGCTTCCGACGAACGCTGCCACGGAACGAGTTCCTTGCCTTGATGCTGCGGCGCATGCCCAGCGCGTTCTTCGTCTCGAGAATGCCGCACCATGAGCTGGGCACGGGGATGTGGAACTCAATGTCGTGCACGGCAAAGCGCACACGGCCGCTCTGCGGGTGCCACTTCAGGTTGGCGCGCAGGTTGACGACGTTCTCGACCGTCTCGCACAGCAGGCCGCGCACTTCAAGTGGCGGTGGCAGCGAGCCAGTCACCTGCACAGCACATTGGCCACACAAGAAGGAAAGGCAAAAGAACATGGCATCCACGCACATCGGTTTGTGATACTCTGAGTTGTGCGCACAGAGGGAAAGTGTTTCTTACACGAGCCATGCAACTACTACAGGTACTACGTGCCAAGTCCTGGTAATACATGTATGTACACTTTGGGACCAGGGGAGATTAATACTTCATTTGAAGTATTCAAATTATGCATCATCTGGTACGTTCGGGCCTGGTTCAAATCTGGCTTTGGAAATTTTATTTATCATTGCTATCAGGTTCGGCCTCATTTTCTCTGTGCTGCGCTGATGAGTCCACAAAGGACGAAATAGTTCTGTCCGCAGATTGAGTATCATCTGATCTTTAATATGTAATGTCCACCACACGCCGCATACAATCACACCTGCAAGGGAGCTATGATTGATACCGTATCATCCAATACTGTCACAAGCTTAAACCCAAAAAGGTATGCACCCTTGTCAGTGTTCATTCATCTAGACTCGATCTGCGAGCACACAGGAACTACCCTTCTATTCGCCTACGTGTCAAAATAATGCATCTTTCTACCAAACATAAGGATGCTAAACTGCCACAGACTGCCTTTCATTTTTCGGATATAGCAAGAGAAGTGGGATGCCTACCTGGAACCGAAGAGCTTCGAATCGCAAGCCCTTCAAGCATGTGAAGTGGACAAGTCGTGACTGCTCGAAAACCTCCCTGTTGGTAGCACTGTGACATTCCACGTGCGACATGTCAATGAGCTCCTTGGAAGCCGGTAGGAACAGGCCGGACGGGTTGTTTCGCTGCTCCGTGGCCAGCTTACGGTCGTTCAGGACCATCTGACAATCAGCCTGTCCACTCAGATAGGCTTGCACCATCACGTGTACAGTCGAGCGACGCGATAACAGAGTGCCGTCAAACGCCAGCTGTAAGCACACAGCACAGCATACCAAGAAGAACACATCGCTAGTTGATTCTTAAATGCAATGTGTGACTACAGGTTGCACTAGAAAGGGTGACAGCAATTTATTGTGCTAAATTGGTGTGCGCTTGTGACCGTTTATGATAAGCTTGAATTGGCTGCCTGTAAGTCATGCCTTGTTGTGCAATGTGCACCAATCGCTTTTTCAATGCTCTACCAGAAATCATTGCAATGTTGAGTCCAGACAAACTCGCCATCATTACGCCATTCAACATGGCATGTTCATCATCAAGGCTACATGCGCAATCCCAGTGGTGACGGATTGCAGAGGCTCATTCTTCACAGTCATACACATACAGTCCTACACATACAGTCCTACACATACAGTCAAATGCATGTAGCTCTATGTGAGGGTGTATGGATGTCATCACTTTGGCATGGTTTGGGAGCCTCACTCAACCCGGCACCCAAAACTCTATGGAAAATTCATATTCATTTTTTTGGGAAGTTCCCCCATGCCAGGTGTACTGCTCGTGCAATGTACTACTCGGCCGCGAGCACAATGAGTGTGGACCCCCCCCCCCCCCCCCCCCCCCCCCCAGATCCACCTCTGGTACTGCACACTACTTCCCATTCAGACCTGATGTCCCACCTTTCATTGAAGAGATTATAACTTACCATTACATCACAGTCATCCACTAGATCACAGTAGATCTCATCGCGACGGAATGAAATCTCCTGCGCCATGTCCACTGGCATGAGGCGTATTCTTCTGTCGATGGCCTCCATGAACGATTCCAGCGTCGTCAGACTGGCACTGCCAACCTAGGTAAATAATTACAAACGAGGACCCCATTCCACAATCAGGCCATTTAATTATATTACATTCAATCACTACGCCTGCTTCACTTTTAAATCCCTATGCATCTCATTCTGTCCTTATACTCTGATGCAATACTGCACAAACATAGGTGCGGACTAGTGTTACGATTACAGTAGCTGCTTCAGTGGTATACATACACAGGACGCTACCCTTGGCCTGGCTACACAAGCAAATATAATAACACCTGCCTAAACCGGCCGCTGACGAGACCATCCAAATCAGGCTCCCATGTACAGATGGTCCCTTCTCCAGGTTCATTACTGAATGGCATCCACTGGCCCTGGCGTGGTCCTGCTCAAGGACTATAGTGGCCACCATGCATTTGCCGTGAGCCGGCCCGTGACACATGCACTTGCCGTGCAATCCACAACATACCTTCAGCACGGTGCGCACTTCCGTTCTTGTGCTGGAGCCGAGCAAAGCCCGGAGGCCACGGAACTCGCGTTGCTGCCAGCTCTGCAGCTTGGCAATGTGCAGACGCGCTCGTGAGTCGCGGATGACTCGTTTTCGCTCCACGTTGCCAAATCGCATAGCTGGCTCAATTTTCAGCTCCATGATGGGCTGGCGCTTGCCAACCTGGTCAGCATAGGACGACGTCTTGCCACTGATCTCGCGGAAGAATTCTACATGCAATAGAACAAGCACACGGAAGAGACAGCGACAACGGGCTCAGGTAGGAGGTAATTACACATATGAGCACATGAACAAACAAGGCCAGTCAAGGCAGCTCGAAGCGGCGTGCTCAATGCACAAATGTGCAGAGCAGTATACACATAGAGCGGAGTATGTGTACGAGTACATGACTGTATTGCCAACGTATGCATACTGTCTAGCATGTGCTTTGTAGCCACCCCAGGGTCATGCGGTGGTTACTTTCAAGTATGCGAATGACTTTATCATAATTATGCTCGTACAGGACGTATTCCACTACATCATCACTTTGACGTATTATGCAGTGAGTGGAATCACAAGTACTGCTCCAGCAACACTCCGTGTGATGGCGCTATTCGTTTAGCCCTTATTGCTATCGGAGGCAAAGCAGCCGGGACGCAGACTAGAAAGAGAAACAGTGCAGTAAACTAAAGAGATTGCAGCCTCACGCCAACATCACAGATCACACGGACCGGCAGACTGCACACTCAACCCTGCTGCCGCCGTACCTGGAACATGGTGGATGCAGAGCTTGTCGTCCTTCAGCAAGACAATGTACGGATGGTATTCCACCGCACTGGAGTGCTTGTCGCGGCTTGCAGAGCGAGACAGCAACGCCGACTTCAGCATCAACTTCCACGAGTCGTCCAACTTCTTGTCATCAAGTGCCGTGCTTGAAACGAGTGTCGTAACTGCAAAAAGAGCAAAGTCAGGGAGCAGGGTGATGCAACACAGCCTGTTTAAATCAGCCCATCCAAGTTGATGGACACATAGTCATATCTATGGTGAGAAGGACCTTCCTTTAATACATTTATAGCGAACTATGACAGGTTAACGTTTCCGGGATAACATTGTTATCCCGAAAACGTTAACCTGTCCTCAACGTAAATTGTCTCTTATCCCGAGAACGAACTTAAAGTGCTTCCGCCGGTCCTGCACGATGGACATCTCCCATTGCTGCTGCTGTAGTCCTGCCTGATGGACAGCTGCCATTGCTGCTGTAGTCCTGCAACTATGCAAGATCCAACTGCAGTTCAGTTTCAAAGTTTACACTTCTAGCACTCTTCAGGTCCTTTTCACAATCCGGTTCAGCACAAGCCGATGCACACTGAGCTATGTGTAGGACTTGGTGCTCAAACTCAGCCCATTTCGATTTACAGCTAACCGTGCCATGAGATATATGTCTACTATACAATCTTTAGCATCATTCTGTCCCGCATCTGTTGTCAGCAGGCAACAATGCTTGGGTTCCAGCACTCTACATACTATTTATGCAGACGATATGACTCTTCTGTATGCTCATCACCGGGCATTATCCCTCGATGAGAATCGGTCTAACGTCCAGCAGGAGCTCAGCAGTTGCCAGCAATGGGCCAGGAGCGTCCATGGTGAGTTCTCTCTGGAGAAGACTTCTTCCCTCAGCAACTACCAACTCCCTACACCATCACCAACCCGGCGTATGGACAATGTTCCAATTCATCACCCCACTTCTGTAGTTCACCTTGGTGTAGCGCTAAGCCCTGACCTAAAGTTTCATAGTCATTTTGCAACCGTTTTCAGAAAGTTCCAGCAAAGAGTAAACCTACTCTGCTATATGGGCCGTCATTTAAATAAATAAAATATTACCCTCCTCCATAAGGGGTACGTTCGCCCTGCAACTAAATACGCCATTCCAGTGTGGACTTATAGATTAATTGCTGAGCACCTAGCTAGCCTTGATGTACTTCAAGCTAGAATGTGTAGATCCATTTTAAAGTCTAGTACCACAGCCTTTGATAAATTTGAAACGAAAGAAAATCTAAATAAGCTATGCCATATTCAATCCCTTCACTTTAGACGCCAGTTTCTTTCACTGGTCACCCTCTTTACAGTCCATTCATAAAAAGATGGGTCCTGGCTCTGGCGAGCTCCCGTATTTGGCGATTTTTCGTGATTTCATCGTACACAGTGCAGTGCTGCGAACTTTGAAATTTGAAAAAGGGTCCAAAAAGGGTGCCTGAACTGGGGTTCGAACCGCAGAATGCACTGTTGCAGGCGGGGTCAAACGGCCTGGATTTTGATGGTTTTTCCCAATTCAGTGCTTTTGGGGCAAAACCTGGCCGAAATTCTATTCTTGCTATGGCTTGCTTTTTGGACAAAAAAACTTCAGAAACATAATTGGAAGAGGATTCCATATAGGATTGCAGAAAAAAATTCTAAAAAAACTCAACGTTTGACCCATTTATGGCCAAAAGCTAGAAGTTCATTTTTTTCTGAATGGACTGTAGATACATCCATTCGCACCCTAATTACCTCGCAATGTTCCACATTACCGTTACTAAAAGTGAGCGCCGTACGAACAAACTAGTCTTCCATAGTCATGGCCGCATACTACCTTCTATGTTTCTGTTTCAGGCAGGCACTCTGTGGAACTGTCTGCCCCCTACTATAACCTCCATCATAAATATTGCTGAGTAATTTAACTGCAAACGTATTCACTGATATTCTTTGTTTTCCTCATTGATTTCCTCACTCCCAGTTGTCCTATTCGTCGTGTTATTTCTCCTTCTCTGCTCACTTTGTATTCTCATATTCTCAACCTAACTGTACAAAATGGAGACCCCTCGATAGGCCTAAACGGCCTCTGGGGAATCCTTTAAATAAATTATACAAATTTATACAAATTTATTACTAATGACTTTCTTGCCACGAATGCATTCAAGACAGGGCACAAGGCATAAGGATTAAGATCCGCCTCATATGAACAATTATTCGCCTGACCTATCAGTTTGTCTCTGGTGTCAAGCAAAGGTTCTGGGCCATTGGCATTGGGGTGGTCTGTATTCATCTTGTCATTTCCAATCCATTTCACTACTACTACTACTAGCTACCCATGTCACACCCTGAGGGAACTCAACAGTGCAGCCACCTGACACTGTACATGTACCATGATACTATTACTAATGATACTGTGACAGTAACCCACTGCAGGCACAGTAAACACACAGCACTGTACTGCTGAGATCAGAACTACCAATACAACACTCAACAGTACTTTCCCTTGATCAATGTACTGTGACCCCAGGAACACCAACACTACACTGGTGGAGTGGTAATCCATGATTTGTTCACAGCCCCACATCACAGTACTAGTGGTAGAGTCAACTGAGTGGTAGACAGTCAAACCAGCACTGCAGCCACTTCAGGACTAAGTCTTGCAACCCTGCACTTGCACTAACACTAACAGTACAGTCATGTAACTAACTAACTAAATAAATTATACTTCCTGGTCTTTCAAAAATGTTTTTTTGTCCACTTTCTTTATCACAATGTCATGTTACATTATTGTTACTCCTATGCACCTAGTACCTGACCAGGCCATCTCTAGCGTAGGCCAGTCAGACTAACTGACTGTATCAGATGTCCACTGTATGGTCAGGTGACTCAGTCAGCTGCGGAGGAAACCACCCAGGGCGAGGGTGCCAGGAGCAGGAAGAACTCGACTTCCTTGCTGTTTCCCTTGGCACACCAAACGGTGAAACTCCTGTCAACGGGGTGCCCTGTCACATGCATACACGGGATCAGTTCGCTTGCGCAACATGGAGTTTTAGAACGGCAAAATGCATGGCAGATGTGGATCTAGCATGCAACAGTTTACAAAACAAGCTGTCGTGGTAGATCTACTCACCAGCAGCAGCCGCAGCACTAGCTTCAGCAGGTTCGGTTTTGTCCGCAGCCACATTGTCATCAGCTGAAGCTGCAGCGATCAGCTCCCGATCATCCGAAGCATCGGCGGAAGCGTTGGTCTTCCCAGCGTCGGCAGGCGTTGCATCAGCTTCGCTACTGACCGCAGCTGGCTGCTCTGTTGTATCGTCCTCTTCCTTGATACGTTTGACATCGGCTGCGAACGGATTCGTGGGCGCGAGCTCCGTCACCTGTGCATTGTTTGTGTCGATGGTAGCTCCTGCCGTCGACGCATCTCCGGGTTCTTCTGGCGTGGCCCACCAGTCGGAAGCGGAGCGCCGACTGGCTGCCTTGGCATCGCTCTGGCTATCGAACGGCATCCAGCGACTAACACGAGTGGCCACAGGATCGTTCCTGCTGCCCAAGCCAAAGAATCGTGCGAAGGATGGAGGCTGGTGGCTCGTAGGTGCTGCTGCTGCTGCTGCTGCCTCCTCCTCTGGTATTACCTTCTCCAGCCACGGGTCGAACTTGACACTGCCTGACCCTGCAGCGCCTGCGCTAGCAACGCCTCCGTCAATGCTACTTTCGCCACCAGCAGGCAGCTTTTCTTCTTCGTTTTGTTGTAATGTAACTGCTGCTGCTGCACTAGTGTCCTTGCTTGCTGACTGCTGTTGATTTTTGCTTTCATCCTCGACTTGTGACTGCGCCTCGTTGCCGGCACGAGAAGAAGTCGCAGCCTCTGAGTCTGAGGCCTCTGACGCTGCTATCTTCGCGGTGCTCTCTGTAGGGCTCGCGACGCCGCCGTCGGTTTCGTTCAGTTCAGCTCGCATTGCTCGTGCTTCAGCTATGGCCCGCTCCGCGGCTAGATCTTCGTCGCTCTCATGCTCAGCCGCTGCAGCCGCTAACTTGTACAGTGGCACTGGCTCCGTGTCCGTGTTAGCTGTGGCCGACGCGGTGGCCTGACCCTCAGCTTCGGCTAGTCGCACGGCCGCCGCGTCCCCTCCAGTTTGACCCTGCTTGTCCGCCGTACCGCCGCCACCAGTCGCACTTTCTTCAGCAAGCTGCAGCAATGGATCGGCTTGAGTGGGTTTCGAGAGGTGAGAATCACTCGATGTGCGCTCCAAAGCACCTACTGGATCTAGCGTGTCTATTTTACCCTGTTGCATAGCTGCTACGGTCGCTGATCGACCACGTGCCTCCAAGGGAAGAGCCATGGCGATTTCAGCAACGATTCTTCCCTGATTAGTTTACAAACAGGCTTTGGTTCTTGATCGTCTACTCCAAATAAATGAAGCTACAGTTTCTTCATTCACAGATTCAGTCACTGAGAGATAGCAATGAAAAAATCCTGTTTTCTTTGCACCATGCACCACTCATTACTTACATCAGCCTGGGCACGACGTGCGCGGTTTGGTATGTCACTTGTCAGCGTGCTTGCTCTGCCTAGCCTGCTAACACTGTAACAGTAGTGCTACTCCGCACTGCACTGCCGGCCACTTGTGCTCTGGAGCGAGCTAGCTAGCGAGTGGTTCACAGCATGCAGTCCCGATCTCTGAGACCTGACTCGATCGACTGAGCACCTCATAGCGGACCTAGAATCCAGCCTTCACCAGTTCACATGGTTCACGGCCAGCGTCAGGAATCAGGGACGACACTCAGGAGTCTTGTTTTGTGAGACTTGCCTATCTACATTGTACTACCAGTACCACGCTAGTGCACCATGACCTCTTACATCTGCGAGTCTGCTGCCCACAACACGGCTGGCTCGTCAGATTCCGGACAAAAGCCTGAAAAGGTCGACGGACTCAGCTCAGGTTGGACCAGAAGTGACAGGTACGTAGAGTCTACCATGCCCACGTGGGGTCTGGACTCCCGATCCCGAACACTCGCGAACAGTCCTATCACTTATCAGTCACTGTATCAGCTCAGTGCATGTAGTGCACACTACTAGTCCTAGTACAGTCGTCCCTCTTTAATCCGGCACTTTATAATCCAGCACCCTCGATAAACCAGCACAATTTTCAGTAGCCAAAATGTCCTCTTCATGTACATTGCAGCAGTAAATCAGATTTGTTAATCCAGCACCCTCCCTAATCCAGCAGATTTTCGTGGCACAAATGGTGCCGGATTATAGAGGGACCACTGTACTACTAGTACTGTACTAGTACTAGTACCAGTAATGGCAGTATGCTGAATGTTATGACGTCTGTACAATCATGTACATGTACATGTACATGATTATTGTACATTCTAGTCCTGTCTTGAATACTATTCTGTATTCATCAGCACTGTGACTAGTGAATGCAGACAGTACAATAGAGTGTGTACAGACTGTGATGTCTACTGAATGTCAATGATGACATTGATGTCCGTCTTCGTCGTAATGACTGTACCCAGTCAAAACCAAAAGAAGACAGGGAGTGACAACCAACTGCTGAACAGACATACAATGATACATGATAGTGATTGAATTATGAATTTGGTACGGCGTGGCAGTACGCATGTACTACATGAATCATGATGTAGCATTGTAGGATCAGGATACTGCAAGTCACCATGTTCAAGATACTGATGACTCCGATTTACACGTGTACACGATTGTGTACCTACACTACACGTACACGTACATGTACATGGCTGTGTTCCTACATGACATTGTACATGTACCTTGGAGTATCCATACTCATAGTCATACTGCACTGCAAGCAGAGATGTTCCTTGGATATCATCGTTTCGCCCTAGCCCTTTCGCCCAAAGGGTTTTACATTCCAGGATAAGGGAGGCTCAGGTTCCATCCCAATCCATCCTAGAACTGTGACACATGATTGCCGTGGCCCGGGGCCATGGAGCAATGAAAACCATGGAGTAGTGGGTTATACTGTGCATGACAAGGATCTTGTCCACTACCGCCTGCTTGCTAACTTAGTAACTAACACTATGCATGCAGTGTCTGCTCCAGAGGAGGGGTCAGTGACCCGGTTGGAGGGGGGGGGGGGTACTTGGACCCGTTTGGAAAAAGAACACCGGGTCGCCTGTGACCCAGGTGACCCGGTTGGGAATACAATCATATACACTCCTACGGCTGCTTCAGAGCCCATCCCACCAGAGGAGGAGAAGACTAACGGTGTGAAGGAGCCATGCTCGACTTCGATTGACACGTTCACCGTAAGCACGCTTCTTCTCTCCTTCGAACCTTCGGTAGAGGGAGGGGAGAGACTTGGACCGATAACTTGACGCGTGGGGATAAAACACCCTTGTATCAAAAAATGCGTTGCAGCTATCGGTCCAGAATCCCTTCACCCTCAGGTCGGCACGGGCATCAGGATCAGTGTTGGCTGACCGATGGTGAAAAAGGTTATACCAGCTAGGGACTGCAATGGTGGCTCCACCTCCACATCATGATGGAGCTCCTTCATGCACGACGCGAGGAAGTCGGTGGGATCATTGTGTTGCATGTTGATGAATCCCGGCAGCTTGCAAATTTGGGCATGGTCAACTGAGAACATTGAGCCACAGGGACAGGATGCTGGCAGGTTGTCCAGAGGCCAACAGTACCGGAGCCGAATACATGTATGATCGTGAAAACCACCCTTCACATCAAAGCTGAAACCGTACTCAGCCATAGGGACGGTGGTCAGGGTACTGGACCCGCCCTTCTCGCGTGGCAAGGACATTGCTCGCTGCTGTGGCTGCGGCAGGCGGTCTTGGATGGCAGTCGCTGTTGCGCCCAGTACTGCGCGGTGGTGAATTCGCACTGCCGACTTAGTTGCCTGGTCCAGCCGAATGCTCTCCAGCAACTCCGATCCACCGGTGGCGACCTGAGCTGCGAGGTGGGTAGTGCACTCAAAGACGCAGCGTGCTTGCGTGGAGAGTCCTCAACAGGGTTGTCGAAAGACAAGCCTCCATGTCGAGCAGGCAGAGCCACCATCTCCATCTCCAGATCGCTCACTTCATGCTTGGTTAGAGCTGGCAGTAGACGGCTGCGAATAGCATCCTGTAGAGGCGGCTGCATGTGATCACCAACAGTGGGAATAGTGCGTTGGAGGAATATCCACCGCGGTGACGCAAACCGAAGACGAAAGCAGCAAATGCAGCATGAGGATGTGTAGCTGCTACGCTGGCAAGTCACTCACTCTGATTGGTCCATGCTTGAACTTTTGCCTCCAAATAGGCCGAGACAAACTCCTCCGAGCTGATAGCAGCGCCCAAATGCCTTTGTCCTGACTTGCGAGCCAAGTTGTCACCCTCACCAGCTATCTTGATGCCAGACCCTGCAACGACTCGCCCTGCTTCAGCCCGACACTCAGACTTCACAACAAGGAATGTCTTCGACGGCTTCGGGAAGTAGCCATAGGCAGGTCCCCTGGACACAAGCTTATCCCAGAAGCGGCGGAGCACCAATAGAGACCACCTGCAGCAGCATCGTCGGCAAACCAGACCTGTATGGCCTTTGCTAGGGCATCTTCGGATACCTCATCGCACGCGCTGATTAAAGGAACCACACTTAGCACTGTACATGTATCTGGCCTGGTTGGTCGTTTCTAAAGGTACCAAATGCCACCCTGCATCAAGTGTATTTCTAAGGCCATGACAGTACGTGTGATATTATAACATAATAATAATATCACACGTACTTTCATGGGAAGAGTGTGTTGCTCCCTACATGGGAGCTCGCGGTTTTCCTCCCGATTTGAATTCTCACTTGACTGACTCACGACTGCCATCCAGAGCACACGAGAAGTCCATCGAACCGTCCACTCGCCAAACCTGCAAGAAAGCACCACTCCCTGCTCAATAGTACAATACACAGAGTTTCGGGGAATTCACCCCTCATTAGTTGAGCTTGAGTAGGCTGAGGAAGATGGTGCCTGAAGAGCACCAATTATATACAGTAAAACCTGTAATTAACGACCACCCCTTGGGGCCAGAGAAAGCGGTCCTTAGTGACAGGTGGTCTTTAGTTAGAGGTTTGCACCGCACAACCATACATGTATATGAATGTTGGATCGTCCGTGTCTGGCAAAGTGGTCTGTAGTACCAGGCTGGTCGCTAGTCACGGTGGTCTTTAGTTACAGGGTTTACGGTAGTGCTCTCCAGGCACAAACATCACCAGGGATACAAACTTACAGACACGCTCCGTTTCCAGCGCGACAAACACCTCGTGAACACCAGACAGCAGCGTGAGTCAGTGTCGCTCATGGAGGTGCTGAACAAGCGCTGAGGACCGTTGGCCATTCACAACGTTGTTGCCTCCAAACCATGTACATGTATTTCGCAAGCCCGCGCTGGGGACAACAACGTGAAGAAGAGGTTGGTGCGAATTCGGCGATAGTAGGGGAAGAGTGTGTTGCTCCCTACATGGGAGCTCGCGGTTTTCCTGCTGACTTGAATTCTCACCTGACTGACTCACGACTGCCATCCAGAGCACACGAGAAGTTCATCGAACCGTTCACTCGCCAAACCTGCAAGAAAGCACCACTCCCTGCTCAATACCCAGTGTTTCGGGGAATTCACCCCTCATCAGTTGAGCTTGAGTAGGCTGAGGAAGATTGTGCCTGAAGAGCACCACTTATACATAATAGTGCTCTCCAGGCACAAACATCACCAGGGATACAAACTTACAGAGAGTGGGGTCTGCCCAGTGTTGACTCCGAGACCCACGGTCGGACGAGCTGCCCAGGCCTCATCACCACTGCCGTTTCTGTGCTGCCTTCTCAATACAACGTACATGTATGTACACTGTATATCATGTGACATGGCAATGATGTGCACATTCACATGTCTGAAGGTTTGAAAATTGTGGTTTTTCAATAAAAAAATAAAAAATAAATAAAAATAAAAAGACGCTCCGTTTCCAGCGCGACAAACACCTCGTGAACACCAGATAGCAGCGTTACCATTGTTACGTGAGTCAGTGCATCATCCCACGCTCCTCGAGCCTTACCGGGCCACAGTACAGTGTGTTCATGACAACTAACGACTGCATGGCTACACATTACTGTACACGTCGGCGGGGCATCAGAAAAGTGTCCTTATTCGCGAAGTGTCGTTATACCCGAAATCTCATTATGTGTGACAGTTGGATGGGACTTTGCTCTGGGCATGAAAATTATGTCGTTATTCGCGAATTGTCGTTACTACAACTGTAGTATATCCGCAGTCGTTATTAGCGAAGTAATAGTTGACTGTACATGACTTGACTGTGCTGACTGAGTCGTAGCCTACGTCACGTACGTAGGTCTACTTCAGTACGTACATGCAGAGGTTTCGCAGACTACCGACCGAGCGGTATATTTGGCGATGAGTCAGAGCACCGGTTTGTGTAGCTTGTCACTAGGTGGCAGTGTACAATGACTTATTAATATTATGTGTAGCTAGGCTGCAGATGTCGACGGTACATACATGTACCTACGACGGCTACGAGGCTACGTACTTGACTGGTACGTGGCATATGCCACGTTGGCATTCGGAACGTGGAGTCTTTGCTCTAGTCGTCTACATGGTCTACTGCACCGGCCTGCGCTGCCTCGTGATCTGTTTTGTGGCGCCCTGGCTCTAGCCTTGGCCTTTGCAGTGCACGGTTGTAGGTTAGAATGATGATCACTATTCGTACTCTAGACTAGTCTAGTCTAGATGGAGCATGCAGGCGAGGACCAATAAATAAGCGCGCTGGTTGATTGGGGAGGCAGTTTAGAACGCTCAACACGTCGTTTATACTATTATAGTCGTTTATAGCAGAGGAAAAATTCGGACACTTTTGTAAGACTAGAATACATGTAGATACATTGCTGCCGACTGCCGTAACTGTTACTTGGCTGTAGATAACAATGGGTTCGTCCGTGAGTGCAGTCTGCAAGAGATTTATGAACAAGAAGGAGATGCGTCTGCTGTTCATGGGTACGTTTTGATGCAGCTGTTGCTCTAGCAATCACGTTGACCATGGATGTGTCATGATGTCATGAGCGATTGGTGTTCGTGAGAATGTGGATATGCATGATTGTATCAAACAGTGATAGACTTGTCCTAGGCTATGGAATACTTCAACGGTATTGGCACCATGTTTTGTTTTTGTTCATGCTGACAACTTTACTCCACCCACCGTATCCCCCCAATACTAGCCACACCCAGCGATTATCAATCATGATAAGATGTAGATCTACTCGATGAAATGTCGCGCTTCTTTCCTTTGGCTTTGAAGTTTATTGTAAAAAAATTGCAACGCACACTTTTGGGTGAACAACAGTACATTTACCTGTACTTACATACAATCATGTACAATGCACATATACAATCATGTACATGTTCATTGTACAGTCATGTATGTACTTTAGTGACATGTGGTGATGTGATCATGTGTTATTCTGGGTGCTCTGAACTGGACAGGTCTTGATGCAGCGGGAAAGACGACTATATTGTACAAGCTGAAGCTGGGAGAAGTGGTCACAACGATTCCAACAATCGGCTTTAATGTGGAAACAGTGGAGTACAAGAACGTCAGCATCACGTCCTGGGACGTCGGTGGCCGGGATAAGATTGTAAGCAACATTCTGGGCATCTGATGGGCTCCTTCTGAGAATTACAAGTTCTGTGACAATAATGACAAGGATCCAACACTACCGGCCCTCAATGTTGCATTTGAAGCAGCTGACTTCTCAATGGTCTGCACTTGCTCACCCGGCGGGGGAGGGGGGGGGGGGTAGTGACACCTGGTCTGTGAAATTTGCTAGCCGGCATTAACCGCGGCACACCGGTAGCCGAGGAATGGACGTTGATCACAACCTGCATATTCACTTAGCTCAGAATTCCGACATGGCAATCAGCTTCATGTGTGACACGACATTGACGTTATTCTTTGCAACTTGTCATTCCTTATCACCAGCGTCCGCTGTGGAGACACTATTACCAGAATACCGATGCACTGGTGTTCGTTGTGGATAGCAATGATAGAGAAAGATTGGAGTATGCTCGCGAGGAGCTGCACCGCACATTGGGTGAAGACCAGTTGAAGGATGCTACTATACTGGTGTTTGCCAACAAGCAGGACTTGCCGAATGCCATGAGCAAGGATGAAGTTGTTGATGGACTGGGACTCAAGGAGCTCAGGAGCAGGCAGTGGGGTAAGCAATATTTTGCACTATTAGCCCCCCCCCCCCTCTCTCTCTCTCTCTCTCTCTCTCTCTCTCTCTCTCTCTCTCTCTCTCTCTCTTTCATTTTGTCTTTCTTGGTCGCTCTCTTCCGAAAGGTACAGTAATGTGTTCACGGTGGTAAATCCTTTGAAGTACTTTAGCATGAATGGAGCACGTTGAGTGTTGTGTTCGGTCTTTCAGTGTTGTTGCTCAAAAGCGTAACTTTGTGTTTTTGATGTATGCTTTCTTTCTACCCATGGTGCAGCTGCGTTTGGTTGCAGTGCAACCACCACTGGCAATCTGAATCTATATGAGGGTTTGGAGTGGCTCACCAGTGCACTGGCTAATAGTGAGGTACAGAAAGCTGTCACAGAACCAGTGTCGCAAACAGTGACGGACGCCAAAGGTCTTTCAAGCAGGCTTCTCTCGCCGGTGTCACAGTGGTTCAAGCAGCTAAGCAATACTCACTGGTTTTCTCAGACATCTGGCACTACTGCTCTCAGCAGCTCCTGAACTATGATCCTGGCACCAGCTAAACCTTGGTTGATTCCCATTCCCTTGAAACAACCGACTTTTCGAACTTTGCCATACAATGTTTAGCATACATGCGGTAAATACATGTACATTGTAACTTCCAGTATAATTAATTTATTAACGATTCAAACTGCTGAGTACAGTACCAGGCTGAATGCTGGCGGCTTATTTGTTTTATAGTGAGGCAGCTGGAAAAGGCACTCACCTCAAGTGTGAGTTTTTGTCAAGGTCTTTGCTATAGTTCTTGCTTTTTGCTTCTTTTTTTTAATAAAAATGCTTTGCTTCACGGAAACGTCTTTCATTGCGAAGAGCTGCGCTTCTGTCCTCTGAGCTGTGCTGAGGAGCTCTAACAGAGCGAAACAGTTGCTGGCCACAGATTTGAGTTCTTGCTTTTTGTATATTTTTTAAAACTGTTTTTCTAACTTGAATGGAATCAGACATAGTCAAATACCCATGTACCCATGTATTATGAATTTTACTACCAGGCTTTACTGTAAATACTACATGTTCACCTCATGCTTTATTATGATTATATCCATGGCCTCAGTAAACAAAAAAAAGGAGGCGCCGTGGGACCCGATGGAGTCAGTGCGGAAATGCTACGAGCTGCTAAGGACCTCCTCAGTCCTTGGCTAGCCTCTTTCTTCAATGCAATACAGAGTGTTGGTTATTGCCCTGACGATATGCGCAGTGGATTGGTAGTACCTGTATACAAACCAGGCAAGCCACTCGGAAAACCGAAAAGTTATCGCCCCATCATGTTACTCTCTGTAGTGAGAAAGGTGCAAACGTCAGTTATTACTAAACGTAGCACGGATGACATCACCGTTTATGTCTCTGAAACCCAGGCTGGGTTTCGTCCAGGTCGCTCAACCGCTGATGGTGTATTTTACACAAGGTCGCTGTGTGAGCGGGCCTTGCTTGGCAACTGGACATATTCCGTCACCCTTCTAGATTTCTCTGGTGCTTTTGACACTATAATTCGCACCACAGCACTTGACAGGTTAGAGGAAGCAGATATCAGCACAACAACCATCAAGTCTCTACTTTCCAACACGACAGCCAGGATCAAGCTGAGTGGCTTCCTGAGTCCCCCTTTCCCAACTAACATCGGAGTGGTCCAGGGAGACCCGATGTCCCCTATTATGTTCATAACATATGCAGAAGGCACAATGCGCAAGATCAGGGAAAGATGCACAATTCGCTCACCAATGCCTGCTCCAACAACGCAGTACGCTGACGATACTACTCTGCATAACCGAAATGACGATGAGGCGAAGGCTCTTGTTGCTGAGTGTGAACCTATATTTAACGAAGACAACCTCAAGCTCAATACACAGAAAACTGAATATGTTGATGTTACAAGAAACAGCAACGAATGGAGATCAATCAAACTCCTGGGTTCTCTATTGGGCTCTGCAGAAGACGTGGACATGAGAATCTCAAAAGCAAACAGGGCGTTTGGGTCGATTTCTTGGAGACGGCATTCCTTTCAATCCCGACTGTGTATGTTTAACTGCCTCATAATGCCGATCCTTCTATACAATTGCGGATTGTGGACTCTGTCCAAATTGCTGAACGACAAACTGGACAAATGGCAACGGAGGAAGCTACGCGTACTGCTGCAGATTGTCTACCCGCAACGCATCACCAATAACAACTTATACACAGAAACAAAACAATCTCCAGTTAGTGCCACATGTCGGCGACGCAGGCTGCTGTGGTTTGGCCATGTGGTGCGAGAGGGTCCGGAATCCGCCTCGTTCCAAGCACTGGAGCTATCAATCAACACAAACGACATAAAAAAAAACCGTGGCCGTCCGCCATTGCGGTGGATAGATACGATTCGGCACGACCTGAAGGCAGCGGATCTCTCCGTGGAGAGCGCTCTCCAAGCTGCAGGAGATAGACTAACTTGGCTTGACACTGTTGACAGATGCGTCGACTCTGCTCCTGTCTAACAGGTTCAGGGAAGATGCGAGCTGTGTTTATTATTATTATTATCCATGGCCTTGCTCTGCAGTTTGTAGATCAAGACCACCTCCATGATACCTGAGAGTACTCCATGCTGGGTGCGTACTTTTATTTTAGCTTCAGCCTCTCATAATCAAGTTCTATTTGAGGCCATTTATGTGATTGCCACACTTTGTACTTGAGTATACATGTACGTGTGTACGTGTTACTGTATCATAATACCGGTACATTTTAAAGGGGAAGTTAAGGCAAAAATTAAAATTTCACCAGTTGTAGTCTTCGGGGTGCTGAGTCGAATGGTCGTGGTCCGAGGAAGCTGAGACGCTCCCTTCCTACTTGAATCCCAATCGAACTCGCGCACTTCCACCGAAACTGGGTGACTGCGCCCTACTAGATGGGGATTTGTATGCAAAATGTCACTAAAAGCGCCATTTCATTCTTATAAAAGCATGGATGACCGCGATTGGCCCATATGTTGTACTGTTTTGGACGCTGAGTCGACTGGTTTTGGTCCGAAAAGGCTGCGATGCAGCGTTCCTCCTTTATTCCCAATCGAACATGGTTGAAGAAGCGGTCACGTGCTCCTGCGTACGCCAGTCACCTGGTCACCGTGCCTGCAGGGTACAACTTACTAGCCTGTTTGACCTTTTTTGGGTGCAGTCCTGTCACTCGAGTTGAACTCGAGTTGAACCTTGGTGTGAAATTTGTCGCCTGCTGGCGTGGTGACCAGGTGATTTGGCCACCCAGGAGCACGTGACCGCTTGTTCAACCATGTTCGATTGGGAATAAAGGAGGAACGCTGCATCGCAGCCTTTTCGGACCAAAACCAGTCGACTCAGCGTCCAAAACAGTACAACATATGGGCCAATCGCGGTCATCCATGCTTTTATAAGAATGAAATGGCGCTTTTAGTGACATTTTGCATACAAATCCCCATCTAGTAGGGCGCAGTCACCCAGTTTCGGTGGAAGTGCGCGAGTTCGATTGGGATTCAAGTAGGAAGGGAGCGTCTCAGCTTCCTCGGACCACGACCATTCGACTCAGCACCCCGAAGACTACAACTGGTGAAATTTTAATTTTTGCCTTAACTTCCCCTTTAAAAGTTCCAGGCAGTAGGGATTTCATGTGGCCCCGGTGGCCTTGACAGGAAATAAACATTACTATTGAAGAAACACCCGTTAGTGGAGCTAGGGATTAATCTGCATTAAAAAAAAGAAGTAAATTATCGTATCCGTTCCCGAAGGGAACTCACGACGGCCGCTAACACCCGATAAACCCTAGCGGCAGATGCAGCGCCTAACGGTGGGGGTGAGTGGGCAAGTCTCACAACCACTGGCACAAGTGCCGAAAACGACCCCATTAGCTGCATCCATGTACCCCTTGTGCCTGGCCACAAGTTCCCAGTTGACTGTGGGTAGCAGCACGGCTGGAAAAACCGCTCCCAGGCAGGACTTGAACCAGGTACCTCTCGTATCTCAATCATGATCTTTGACCAACCCACTGTGCCTGCCTGGTCTGCATTGGGTCCGATGATATTGCCCTGTGCGTATCATGTGCATGTAGTGCGACCTCAATGTAGCGTTCCTTCGGAGACCCTGACGGCCTGAGTCTGACTCCCCTGGGCGTAGAAGCACATATCCAGCAGTACAGAGTGGCCCAGGACTCCAGGGGAGGGACCTGCTGAGCTCAATCGAAGGTCCATATTTACTTAGTGGTGCACCTAGGCCTAGGGCCGGGATGGGCTGTACATTTTTAATGGGAGTACAGAACCGTGGGAAGAGGAAAGAGAGCCGCTGAGCGGGGCTGGGAAAGGAAGGTTATGGCTACTGGGGAAGGACTGTTTTACAACCGGTACAGGCTAAATGTCGATCTACTGACTCAGTACTGATGGGTGGTGTATTTGGCCATGAGTCAGGGCGCCGGTTTGTAGCTTGTCACTGATTGTCAAGAAAGGTCCACCTGTACCTACTACTAGTACTAGTTTTTTCCTTGTTAATAATAACGACCTACTTCTTGCGTAGCGATGAATAATTATCCTATCCACGATGGGAAGTAACCGTATTGCGTGACTGATCCTTTCAATGTTCTAATCTTTCAAGTGACTTTTCCTTTTCTACCTGGACTCCTCCTTGGTTTCCCTTTTCTCTCTACCTCTTCTCTTGTACCTTCTTGCTATTATTCACCTAGATGTGGGGCTTTCAATAAAACAAGTCTAGGCTGTAGATCTACTGTCTGTACTGTCTTTTAATTGGACTTCAATTGAAAAATCAAATTCGCGAGTTTTGCATAAAACGCTAGAAAAAAAACGCTAGTTTTTCTAAACCGGGAAGAATCGAGAAACAACCTGTGAAAATTTGAACCCGAAATTCCAAGGCAATCTAGGGTTATAGTCGATTGAAGATCGGAAAACTGGGGAGAAAGTAGTCACAGAAGTAAATGCAAGTATGTATGGGAGCCGTGTGGTTTCCGTCCAGCACTGCACTATCTGGTGCATACATGGCGACACAGGATGTGTGCATGCATGCGCATGTGCAGTGTGCACGCATGCCGTGCGCGCCGACTTGCACAAGTCACACGTTTTCACCGTCACTGCTTCTACCAGTGTGCGCGCAGTTCACTCGATTTTTTCGTCTACCACCAGGAAATCGCCGTGGGCTGGTTTCTGTGATCATTTTCCTTCTACGGCGATAAAGCGCGAGCCTCAATGTTGTAGAATCCTCTTGGTTTAGGCTAATTCGAGGCCGCTGAACACGAAAATCGGGTGTTCCTCGCGAAGCCGAGTACGGATCTGGTCGAAATTAGTACTTCGAAGTGCACCCGCGCCAAGCGCGAAGGCATTATTTTTGGAAGCATGGCATGTGTGGCACCATTGGAAAGGTAATGACCTCGGCTACCTAAAAATAGCATCGACAAGGCCGAAAAGGCCGCGGGAGAAGATACTCGGGCCGCGAACTGCATCTCGAACTGCAGCCACGAAGCGCCCATTCACTTTGTACAGGCGAGCTGTGACTGCACTTTTCGCTTTTCAGTGACCGGAAGAAGCGGTCACGTGGTCCTTGTTGCCCAAATCACCTGGTCACCGCGCCAGCAGGCGACAACTTTCACACCTAAGTTGTACCCTGCAGGCACGGTGACCAACTGACTGGTGTACGCAGGAGCACGTGACCGCTTGTTCAACCATGTTCGATTGGGAATAAAGGAGGAACGCTGCATCGCAGCCTTTTCGGACCAAAACCAGTCGACTCAGCGTCCAAAAGACTACAACATATGGGCCAACCGCGGTCATCCGTGCTTTTATAAGAACGAAATGGCGCTTTTAGTGACATTTTGCATACAAATCCCCATCTAGTAGGGCGCAGTCACCCAGTTTCGGTGGAAGTGCGCGAGTTCGATTGGGATTCAAGTAGGAAGGGAGCGTCTCAGCTTCCTCGGACCAAGACCATTCGACTCAGCACCCCGAAGACTACAACTGGTGAAAATTTGATTTTAGGGTATACTTCCCCTTTAAAGGGGAAGTTAAGGCAAAAATTAAAATTTCACCAGTTGTAGTCTTGCTGGTGAAAATTTGATTTTAGGGTATACTTCCCCTTTAAAGGGGAAGTTAAGGCAAAAATTAAAATTTCACCAGTTGTAGTCTTCGGGGTGCTGAGTCGAATGGTCTTGGTCCGAGAAAGCTGAGACGCTCCCTTCCTACTTGAATCCCAATCGAACTCGCGCACTTCCACCGAAACTGGGTGACTGCGCCCTACGAGATGGGGATTTGTATGCAAAATGTCACTAAAAGCGCCATTTCGTTCTTATAAAAGCACCGATGACCGCGATTGGCCCATATGTTGTAGTCTTTTGGACGCTGAGTCGACTGGTTTTGGTCCGAAAAGGCTGCGATGCAGCGTTCGCCCCTAATTCCCAATCGAACATGGTTGAACAAGCGGTCACGTGCTCCTGCGTACACCAGTCACCTGGTCACCGTGCCTGCAGGGTACAACTTACAGCCTGTTTTGACCTTTTTTGGGTGCAGTCCTGTCACTCGAGTTGAACCTTGGTGTGAAAGTTAGTTGTCGCCTGCTGGCGTGGTGACGAGGTGATTTGGGCACCCAGGAGCACGTGACCCCTTCTTCAACCATGTTCGATTGGGAATAAAGGAGGAACGCTGCATCGCAGCCTTTTCGGACCAAAACCAGTCGACTCAGCGTCCAAAAGACTACAACATATGGGCCAATCGCGGTCATCCGTGCTTTTATAAGAACGAAATGGCGCTTTTAGTGACATTTCGCATACAAATCCCCATCTCGTAGGGCGCAGTCACCCAGTTTCGGTGGAAGTGCGCGAGTTCGATTGGGATTCAAGTAGGAAGGGAGCGTCTCAGCTTCCTCGGACCACGACCATTCGACTCAGCACCCCGAAGACTACAACTGGTGAAATTTTAATTTTTGCCTTAACTTCCCCTTTAAAGGGGAAGTATACCCTAAAATCAAATTTTCACCAGTTGTAGTCTTCGGGGTGCTGAGTCGAATGGTCTTGGTCCGAGGAAGCTGAGACGCTCCCTTCCTACTTGAATCCCAATCGAACTCACGCACTTCCACCGAAACTGGGTGACTGCGCCCTACTAGATGGGGATTTGTATGCAAAATCTCACTAAAAGCGCCATTTCGTTCTTATAAAAGCACGGATGACCGCGATTGGCCCATATGTTGTAGTCTTTTGGACGCTGAGTCGACTGGTTTTGGTCCGAAAAGGCTGCGATGTAGCGTTCCTCCTTTATTCCCAATCGAACATGGTTGAAGAAGCGGTCACGTGCTCCTGCGTACACCAGTCACCTGGTCACCGTGCCTGCAGGGTACAACTTACTAGCCTGTTTGACCTTTTTTGGGTGCACTCCTGTCACTCGAGTTGAACTCGAGTTGAACCTTGGTGTGAAAGTTGTCGCCTGCTGGCGCGGTGACCAGGTGATTTGGGCACCCAGGAGCACGTGACCGCGTGTTCAACCATGTTCGATTGGGAATAAAGGAGGAACGCTGCATCGCAGCCTTTTCGGACCAAAACCAGTCGACTCAGCGTCCAAAAGACTACAACATATGGGCCAATCGCGGTCATCCGTGCTTTTATAAGAACGAAATGGCGCTTTTAGTGACATTTTGCATACAAATCCCCATCTAGTAGGGCGCAGTCACCCAGTTTCGGTGGAAGTGCGCGAGTTCGATTGGGATTCAAGTAGGAAGGGAGCGTCGCAGCTTCCTCGGACCAAGACCATTCGACTCAGCACCCCGAAGACTACAACTGGTGAAAATTTGATTTTAGGGTATACTTCCCCTTTAAGGTAGCAGTACTGGAAAACGGGTGTCAGATTTAGCCAAAATATCAATTTCACGGGAACTGCTTCAAGTGTGATTTTTCTGAAAGAAGGAATACCAAAGGGTCTACAAATGAATTTTTTTGGCATTCGAACCAGCCAAAGCAGAGATATGGCCCTTCAAAAACTGAAAATACCCGTCAAAATTTCAAAATTGCACTGATCAGCTGATCGATGTCAATCTATTTCGAGAGGGTTTCTGTACAATATCAGCGCATCCTTGCCAATCTCGGCCTGATTCACGCTATCTGTCCAGCTAAAACCAGTTTAGAGCTGGGCTGAGTGTCGCGATCGCCACATGCAGCGCCTGCCTGGCCCAAGCTAGCTGGCCTGGCTGGCCTGCACTCAACCCACGCAATTGTATTTTCAAAGATGATAAAAAAATTCTTTGTTCTCAAACTGTTTGCCAATGCGACGAGCGTTTGTCAGCGACGTTGGAGCTCTGCGCTTGAGTTGTTGTGCTGGCGCTACTTGGTCAGGAGACGGGTGATGAACACAAACGAAGGTCGCTCAGCAGGCCAAGGAAAAGCAAATTTCCTAGAGTTACGTCCAAGCTCGTCTCAAATCCTGAAGTATTTGAGCCAATTGAGGGGAGTGAAAGCGAACACGAGTCGCAGGCTGATGGAGCTGGTGAGGGCGTAGAAGATGACTCTGATCTTCCAGCTGATTTTTTATCCAGTGATGCCTCGTGTGATAACGATGGAGATTAGTCTGAAGAGGATTGCGATGATATTCCATCAGGAATTCGAATTGTTCACATGGAGAGCTTACAGCAATTGGTGACGTCAGCGTGTGTATGTAGTAATTATCAAGAGGGCAACCTGACTATCAAAGATAATTTTCGTCATGGCCTCGCCTCAACAATTAGTTTGCAGTGCGAATCGTGCTGCTCATCAACCAGTGTAGCCCTGGCAGAAAGACACCCACTTGCTAAATTGTACGATATAAACCGCCGCCGCAGTGTGCTTGCCATGCGCCTTATTGGTAGTGGACGAGAAGGTCTGAACAGTATCTGTGGGATATTGGATATGCCGCCTCCTGTTAGCAATTCTGGGCACAGCGATGCACTACACACTGCTGTGGAAACTGATGCTAGGGACAGCATGAAGAGTGCTGCACAGCGTCTTCTTGTTCGGCGAACAACAGAACAGCATTCCCACCCGGAGCATGTTGCAGTTAGCACCGATGGAACGTGGATGAAGCGCGGATTCTCATCAATGTTTGGTATGCCAACTGTTGTGTCCTATGAGACAGAAAAGGTTCTGGACGCGGAGGTGCTATCAAAACACTGCAGTGGATGTGAAACTTGGAAGAACAGATGGCAAGCAAGAAAGATTTCTAATGCTGAGTACGAACAATGGAAATGTTTTCGGCTGTGCTGGAAATGATGAGCTGCTCTAAGTTTCACTTGCCAGCTCTGGTCTTCTCAAGTTGGATGAAGAGAAGCATTATCACAGGAGGAGAAGGTCCAGTGAGGAGCAAAGGTCAGCCAGGAAGAGAAGAAGAGCCATTCGAAAGGGATTTGCTGACACGATACAGCAAGCAGAGGTAGTCACATACATTGCTGGAGGGTTTTCAGAGTGCCAAAAGTTAGTGTTTTTTGGCCTTCCGACCAAACTTTGGTACACTATATCTCCAGACTGGCTCATCACAGCCCAATAAACCTTATATGTAGATTGATCAGTGGAAAATTTCCCAGATGCTGAATATATTTATAAAGCCATAGTTTTTTGTTTGGCGGATGTTAGCTGCCTCAGTAGTAATAATCTTTTTCGACGGTGACGGGCGTCTTCACAGATGATGTTGACTGGGTGGTGCTATTTGTGTCCTATCTCCAATCTGTTCTATTCAGCATCTGCTACTATTGTAGACTGTCGCTTATGATGCATTTTTAACACTTCAGCTGATATTATGTTGCTGCTAGCATGTACCAAAAATCTGAGACGACGGCATTTTTTTACTCTCCAGTGCAGTGAACTTTTGGGACGATGCGAAGTAAATAAGTTCAAGGTAGTACTTTTATTAGGTGGTGGCGTGAATCATGAATCTGTGCTCAAAATTTTGTGGGAAAAGATTCACAGACACCGAAGTAATACCCGATTTTAGTTGTTTGTATTTGCGAATGGCATATTCCAGTACTGCTACCTTAAAGGGGAAGTATACCCTAAAATCAAATTTTCACCAGTTGTAGTCTTCGGGGTGCTGAGTCGAATGGTCTTGGTCCGAGGAAGCTGAGACGCTCCCTTCCTACTTGAATCCCAATCGAACTCGCGCATTTCCACCGAAACTGGGTGACTGCGCCCTACTAGATGGGGATTTGTATGCAAAATGTCACTAAAAGCGCCATTTCGTTCTTATAAAAGCACGGATGACCGCGATTGGCCCATATGTTGTAGTCTTTTGGACGCTGAGTCGACTGGTTTTGGTCCGAAAAGGCTGCGATGCAGCGTTCCTCCTTTATTCCCAATCGAACATGTTTGAACAAGCGGTCACGTGCTCCTGCGTACACCAGTCAGCTGGTCACCGTGCCTGCAGGGTACAACTTACTAGCCTGTTTGACCTTTTTTGGGTGCAGTCCTGTCACTCGAGTTGAACTCGAGTTGAACCTTGGTGTGAAAGTTGTCGCCTGCTGGCGCGGTGACCAGGTGATTTGGGCACCCAGGAGCACGTGACCGCTTGTTCAACCATGTTCGATTGGGAATAAAGGAGGAACGCTGCATCGCAGCCTTTTCGGACCAAAACCAGTCGACTCAGCGTCCAAAAGACTACAACATATGGGTCAATCGCGGTCATCCGTGCTTTTATAAGAACGAAATGGCGCTTTTAGTGACATTTTGCATACAAATCCCCATCTCGTGGGGCGCAGTCACCCAGTTTCGGTGGAAGTGCGCGAGTTCGATTGGGATTCAAGTAGGAAGGGAGCGTCTCAGCTTCCTCGGACCAAGACCATTCGACTCAGCACCCAGAAGACTACAACTGGTGAAAATTTGATTTTAGGGTATACTTCCCCTTTAACTGCATCTCGAACTGCAGCCACGAGGCGCCCATTCACTTTGTACAGGCGAGCTGTGACTGCACTTTTCGCTTTTCAGTGACCGGAACTGAACTCCCTAGGACTCTGTACTGTAGGCTAGGCTGTAGATCTACTGTACTGTCTGTAGGATAGGCTGTAGATCTACTGTACTGTCTGTAGCCTAGTGTAGGCTAGGCTGCAGTAGATCTACGCTACTGTCTTGCTGAAGCCGTGAACTGGTGAAGGGCGGGATACTAGATGATATTCCGCCGCCTGTTGGTCCTTTTCTTGCTTGAATCCTTGTCTCTCTCTTCCATGTACTCTATTTCTTCAGTATATCCACTGTTCCTAAGTGCGCTGTTGTGCGGCTTCTCTGCGTGTCTTGGTTGGATGAAATATCGGTTAGCCGCCTGTTTTAACCCTTTGTGACCCCATCGATCGCGATATCGATCGATTGGTATACAGTGGCACCAAAAATATTATATCTCTGGTGTTCCTTCCCCGATTTTCATAAACAAACCGTCTACGTCTCGAGAGGAGCCTTGGCTATCACGTCGAAGTTATCCGAAGTCTCTACGAGGTACGATGCCGCCGTGGTGAGACTCGAGGTCGGCGGAAAACTGAAAAATTCACTCCGATCAAAAAATTCAAATTTTCACACTGCGCTTGGCAGGGGTTTTCCCCGGAGTGCTACGTCATACTCAAGCATGCTGCACGCCAACATTTTGCGCTTGAAACGAGCTTTCCGCTGTAGTTTATTTGAAGTCGATGTGATGAAGGAGAATGGAATGGCGGCTGTTTGAACTTTGCTGGAGCTGTTCGCGCACGGCTGCTGTTTTGAGCGGCATTCTAGGCCACGCAGAGCAGACGCCATGCAGGTAGCTGGCTTGAGTGTGGTATGAGTCGCTTCGTCTTGGAAATACCTTTCCAGCGGTGGCAAGTTTGTAAAAATCGGTGAATGTTTGGCAGAGATACAAGCAAAAGTGCATGTTATTTGGAGGTGAGTAAATTGTCGTACTTTCAGTGGGGTCACAAAGGGTTAAAATAGCTTTCGGTATTAATTTTGCTTGATGATTGTTGGTGGATTATTCGATTGGCTGTGGACATAGACCGGTGTATCGTTAGGTTTTCTATACGGGCGATATGTTCCGTTTGTTAGGTCGATGGTCAGTCTGACTCTGAAAAAAGTCCGAGGTTTTTGAATACCTTGCATACTGTCTTCCTCATTCGGTCAGCTTCGCTGCCTGTCGCGTCTCGTAGCACTGCCAGACCGTCATCACGGTATAGTCCAGACGTCACTGCTGTTGAGTTCGTGTGCAATCTTGGACAGTGTATACGTCCCAACTAGTTCGCAGACTTCGGCACCGTCGAAATATCCCATTGTCACGTCGAATAGTCCTCTTCCGTTCTTCTTCATCCAAGTAGTGTCTCCACTAAATAATAGCAACTTTCGCGAATGCAGGATGATGTCTTTGATGTAGGATGATGTAGGATGATGTCTTTGTCTTGCTTGCTGATACTGGTATGTCGTTCAGCAAACTCAATAGCAGAAGATCTTCCGAAATGGACGGATAATATTCCACAATATCTAGACAGACAAATGTACACCCCGGCTTCCTCTCGATGGCTTGAAACCAATCAATCACTGACGCTGTGTTCTTCCATGAGTCGATTGACAACACTTCCCTTACATCTCGGACAATTCCCGACAGTATCGGTTTGCTGACTCTGCCTATTTCACTTTTGGAGGGGTTTATCAGTCGGCATGGTAGGCTCTGCTGGAAATTTTCTTTGTGATCTATCTGATCCTCCAATATCACATTATTATCATGCATCCTTCTGCGCCAATATTTCAGTTCTCTCTGCAAGATGGAGGTCTTCCGCACTCTCCTTTGCTTCTTCATTGATTTCTTCGCAGGCGTGGTCTGAAGCATGCTTGTACTTTGTAGTGCTTCGTTACATTTGATTACAAAGTAACAGGCAGTACTGAGTAGGGATTTCAGGTGGCCCCCACTGGGTGGCCTTGACAGGAAATGAACATTTAACGGCTATTACTGTCTGTACTGTCGGCTCACTCCTCGGGGATAACGAGGATGTCTCTCGGCGGAAACAACTAGCCGCTGCAGCGTTTCGATCGCTCTGGTCACTATGGAGCCGGCGCAGTACCGTTGGAGAAGAACTGAGGCTTCGTCTCTACAATGCGTTTGTACTACCAGTACTAGCAAGAGTACATAACCCCTGGGGGTTATGTACTCTTGGTAATACTAGTAATAGTATACAACGCCGGCACATGGGGACTCACGGCAGCTGCCGAGGGTGGACTCGACGCATTCCACCGCGGCCAGCTCCGTTCACTGATCGGCTTTGTCTGGCCGCAGAAGATCGCAACAACAGCACTCTACGACAGGTGCAAGGCAGAGCCGATCAGCCGCATCATCACCAGAGCTCGGTGGAGTCTATTTGGCCATATCCTTCGACTTCCCAGTGATGCCCCCGCCGTCCTAAGCATGGTCAGCTACTTTGAATGTGATGACCACAAGTGGAGAGGCCGCCCTCGCATCACCCTGCCGGTGAAGCTCGACGACGACCTCAACCGAGCTGCGTGCGGGCGATTGCAGAGTCTGGAAGATCTGGAACGCCTATCAGACGTAGCTGCAGTTCGAAGCGAATGGAGGCAGCTACTGGATATGATCTGCGGGTAGAGGTTTTCGGCGATGAAACCGCGCCCTCACCTTTTCCCCAGATCACGGAAATATCGCTCAATATACTTTAAACATTCGAAATTTTTATTTCCATTGCTATTTACATGCTTGTTCTTTTCTTTTCTGTCTTACTTTCTTTCCTTGTGTTTCTTAATATTCCTTTTTGAAACCAACACTTCACACTCACTTTGCGCACTTTCTCTCGCATCCTTAACTATGTTACTAGTACATACACAAATAGGAGATCCCCCAGATAGGCGTTAGCCTTTGGGTAATCCTGAAATAAAGATTATTATCAGGTTCGGCCTCATTTCCTCTCTGCTGCGCTGACGAGTCCACAAACTGAACGAAACAGTTCTGTCCGCAGATTGAGTACTTTAAACATTCTATACACAAATACACACACGGATTTACAGCTACGTTTGTGCTTGTTTTCTTTATGTTTCCTATTATAATATCAACTGCTTCTCTTACCATGTCCAGCATAAGCGAAAGTGTGGACTGTGTTTGTGCATGGGTGACTTGCACTGTTGACGCCGCCGCGGGAATGCATTATAATAATAATAATAATAATAATTAACGAAAAACCTAGCTAGGGCATTGGCTCATACTGTCTTGTGCATATTAGCGTTATTATGGACTCTTGGTGTCATGACATGATACACATTGTGCATGAACTATGATTGTAGTGCAGCCTCAATGTAGTGTTCCTTCAGAGTCCCCTGGGCAAAGAAGCACATATGCAGCGGTAGTACAGAGTGGCCCGGGCCCCGGGGCTCCAAGGAGGGACCTGTTGAAGGTCTCGTCACCACATTTACTTGCACCTCGGGTCATTATCAGTAGGGATGGGCTGTAACATTTTAGTGGGAGTACAGAAGTGTGGGAATTGTGATAATGCAGTCAAGAATCACCGGGCTGTACCCATGTAGACAACGAGGACAGGGCAAGACCTGCGGGATGTGAGAGAACTAATTACTTTGAAGGGGAAAGAGAGCGGGACTGAGGAAGGAAAGTTATGGCTGCTGGGGAAGAACTGCTTTGCAACCGGTAGATCCATGAGATCTACACAGTCAGTAGTCATGTTGATCTACTGTCTGGCTCTGACCTGTAGTCTGTACTGTATGTAGTGCTGCCAAATAATGTTCGCCCAAAATCTGACACAATTTTCTGCAAATTTTCAGACAATCCAAAATATCGCCCAAAATACGAAGAAAATTCGCTTCGTTGCCATGGTAACCAACACGGTACCCAGAACTTGGCAGAAGTAACAGTTGTCATGAACTACAAAGTAACACCTTGTAATGCATACATGTAAATGTACTGTATTCGCCTTTTTAGAAGCACATTTACAGTGATTTGTGTGTTCAGTTGCGCTCAAACTGTGAAAATACAGGACTTCTGCATAGGAAAGTACTGATGATCCCTGCCATTTTTGGCTGCTTTTCGGACGTACTGTAAATATACAAATTTTCGGCAGCTATTTAATTTCGGCTATATTCGGCACCGAACCAAAACGCCTAAATTAAAACGCCGATGAAATTTTTCACAGCATCTGTTGCACTATACCATGCCCTCTACCTCACGCCGAAAATAAATCGCCGCCGAAATGTCAAAAATCGTGAAGTGCCGAAATTTTGCAGCGCCGAAATTTTGTATATTTACAGTATCCTTTTTCGGACCGGTTTTCGGAAGAGCCTTCAAAAATCGGACAGTTTGGCAGCACTGTGTATGTACTGTCTGTATGTAGCCTAGGCCCTAGGCTAGGCTGCAGTGCGTACTTTACTGGGACGTGGCATATGCCACGCTGGCATTCGAAACGTGGTGGATACCTAAGTCCTTTGCTCAAATCACAATGTCTATAGTATAATTATAAATGAGTCTACTCGCGCCATGGCATGGCGTAGTGTACTGCACTATGTCATGATCTGCTTTGTGGCCCCGGCCCTTGTTTGATAAAATCACTACTGTAAATCGTACTTGTACAGCCGTCGATGGAGCAGGCAATAAATACGTGCGCTGGTTGATAGGGGAGGTAGTTTGGAACGCTCTGGCTGGAGCCACAGCACTAGAGCGAGTAGAGCTAGAGCGGCCCCAACACGTAACCGTCGTTAGTCGTTTAGAGGAAAATTACGGACACACTTTAGTAAGACAAGAATAGACACAATGGGTTCGTCCGTGAGTGCAGTCTGCAAGAGATTTATGAACAAGAAGGAGATGCGTCTAGTGTTCATGGGTACGTTTTGAACTTTTGATCCAGCTGTTGCTCTAGCAATCACATTGACTATGGACGTGTCATGATGTCATTGATGCATGATTGTGTGTCTCGGCTTCATAACTCCTGTACATACTGATACACTGTTCATAGGATACATTAACAGTATCCTGGCACCATGTTCCGTTTTCGTCACAGTGATGCTGACAACTAATTACTTTCCTCCATCCACCATACCCCCACCCCCGGATATTAGCCACACTACTGGCCCAGAGATTATCATAATAAGATGTAGATCTACTCAATGAAATTTCGCGCTTCTTGCCTTTGGCTTTGAAGTATAATTATAAAACAATTGAAACGCACACTTTTGCCGGGTGCATACAGTACCTGCACTGATGTACTTACCTTTGGTCATGACTGTGGTGTCATGTGTTATTCCGGGTGTTCTGAACTGGACAGGTCTTGATGCAGCGGGAAAGACGACTATATTGTACAAGCTGAAGCTGGGAGAAGTGGTCACAACGATTCCAACAATCGGCTTTAATGTGGAAGCAGTGGAGTACAAAAACGTCAGCATCACGTCCTGGGACGTCGGTGGCCGGGATAAGATTGTAAGCAACATTCTGGGCATCTGATGGACCTCCACTGAGAATTACAAGTTCTGTGACAATAATGATAAGAATCCAACACTACCAGCACCCAATGTTGCGTTTGAACTTTGAAGCAGCCGACTTCTAGATGAGACACTGAATGGACAAATGAGTGCACTTGCTGGGGAAATGGGTTTGTGAAATCTGGTCTGTGAAAGTTGCTAGCCATTAACCGGGGGGGGGGGGGGGGGGGGGGGGCATACAGGTGACCTAGAAATGGACGTTGATCACAACCTGCATATTCACTTAGCTCAGAATTCCGGCATGGCAATCAGCTTCATGTGTGACACAACATTCAACGGACCTTTTTCTTTGCAACTTGTCATTTCTATGTGTGTTTCCCACCAACCATTATCACCAGCGTCCGCTGCGGAGACACTATTACCAGAATACCGATGCACTAGTGTTCGTTGTGGATAGCAATGATAGAGAGAGATTGGAGTATGCTCGCGAGGAGCTGCATGACACATTGGGTGAAGATCAGTTGAAGGATGCTACTGTATTGGTGTTCGCCAACAAGCAGGACTTGCCGAATGCCATGAGCAAGGATGAAGTTGTTGATGGACTGGGACTCAAGGAGCTCAGGAGCAGGCAGTGGGGTAAGCAATATTTTGCACGATTAGCCCCCCCCCCCCCTCTCTCTCTCTCTCTCTCTCTCTCTTTCATTTTGTCTTTCTCTGTCGCTCTATCCCGAAAGGTACAGTAATGTGTTGTGATAGATGGCATTGCAGCACAGTCTTTTCCTTATAGTCGGCGAATCTGGCATCACATTTATCCTGTGTAAAGAACTACATTTCCCGATGGATAGAATACTAGTATGTTAGCGTGTTGAGTTTCGTGTTTGGCCTTTCAGGATCGTTGCTCAAAAGTGTAACTTTGTGTTCTTGATGTACAGTAAAACCTGGTTTAGGTGACCACCCCACGGTCGGTGCATGCAAAAGCAGTCGTTAAAGCCAGGTGGTCTTTAGAGCCAGGTCTCACACATTCGTGGCTTATCGGATTGTGTTCATATAAGTGCTTGATTGTACTTCCACGTACATGTATGCTTTCTTTCCACCCTTGGTGCAGCTGCGTTTGGTTGTACTGCAACGGCTGGTGATGGTCTATATGAGGGGTTGGAGTGGCTTACCAGTGCACTGGCTAGTAGCGAGGTACAGAAGGCGGTCACAGAACCAGTGTCGCAAACAGTAACGGACGCCAAAGGCCTTTCAAGCAGTCTTCTCTCGCCAGTGTCACATTGGTTCAAGCAATTTAAAAGCAATAATGACTGGTTTTCTCAGATATCTACCACTACTGCTGTCAGCAACTCCAATTAAACCTCGCTAGCAGCGTATTCGTTTTGTACTGAGGCTGGTGTAAATGGCACTCACCTCAAGATAATTAGTGTGAGTTTTGCCAACGTCTCACTATAGTTCTTGCTTTTTGTGTATTTGTAATTTTAACTGCTTTGCTGAAATGGAATCAGGCATAGTCCTGCACCCATGTATATATGAACTTGACCACCAGGCTTTACTATAAATACTACACGTGTTCATCTCATGCTTTAAACCCATGGTGTTGCCCTGCAGTTGGCAGATCCAGACCACCTGAATGATAGCTGACAGTACCAGTACTTACTGGGTCCCGTGTACCTTTTTTCAGTTCCAGTCTCTCATAAATTAATCATAATCAAGTTCTTTTTGAGGCCATTGTGCACGCATGGTCATGTGTATACGCGAAGGACTAAAGGGACGCTGGTCTAGGAGTGCGGCAGTTTTTGCGCCATGGCAACGAGGAGTGCGCGCACGCGACTCCACGAGGTATATTATGCTCCGCAGGCCGCGAAAGAGAGCCCGTTACCTGGACCCCTACTCGCGCGGGTAGAGCGAAACTGAGCACCCTGGGATGCGAGCAGCTTTTTAGTACTCCCGGGTCCAAAATCTCACCACCAGGCCGGGATGATCAAAACGTCTGCCGGGTCTGCAGCCTACAAACGTGGATCTGCCGACACTGTGCTGTCGACGACATGTCCGGCAAGGCACCTCCTTGCGTGAAAGCAAGGAACGCTTTTTTTTTAGAAAGGAAGCTTCTTCTCCAAAATTTAAAATTTTTGAAAATTATTCCTTCTGAAAATATCATCGCGTTCTTGACCTCGAAGCTGACTGCTGAATGCGATTAGGAAAGAAGATTCCTGAAGATACACCAGACTGATTCTGGCAAGCCGTCTGTCGTCTAGATATGCAGTTGTTCGTCATGCATGGTCAGCAATCTTCCTCGTTCGTCCTTTCGTTTTCCTGACCACGATGATGACAAGCAGCTCTCATGCTCAGGTTAGTGCTGTACTTGTATGTCTGGGCACACAACACATCTGAGATTCACCCACTGACGTTATCGAACTGAAGAATGCAGCAAGGGTTCCTCGGATTCTCTTGATTTCGGAACAAATTTCCTTCACTTTCACCCTCTCAGTCTCTTCCCCATGCCCTCCATGCATGCACAATCGAGTTTGCATTTCAAATGTTGTTTTTACTTTGGCAGTGCGTTCGATAACGTTAGGACAGTCTAAGTTAGGTGTTCTTCTCTTCAGGCTTATTGGACGTGTACAAATTCTAAAAAAATAGCTTCCATATGCTAAACGCAGATCCCTGTGAATACGGTTCTGCTGGGCAATGATGTTTACACCAATCTACACTCTATGCTGTCACAGCATCCACAACTGATCCTCTCTCTCTGAATTAACTATTTGATAAAGCCAATCTTTAAATCGCTGTTGCATAGGATCTCGGGTGGGAAGAAGCGATGAATCGATACATGGCATTGTGAAGAAAAGAAGAACAAATTCACATTGCACGTGAGACTCGGTTAGAAAGACTGAGTTTCTGCATTCATAAGAATGTCACACCCCGGGGATCATGATAAAGAAAACATATGTCGTGAAAATGACTGAAAGAACCAAAGAAGTATTTGATCTTCCAGCCAGCTTAGCCTGGTACTACCATACTAGCAGTGCTACCAAGTACCAGCCCTCCATATTTTCTGTATTTGTACGGAAAATCACTCCTTGTGCGCACTACAGAAATTGAGCAAATGGTATAGAAAATCGGAGAGGATCAATCAGCTGTGTAGAAGCATTGCAAGTGTAAGCTGAGTGATGAATAGTCTTGTACCAAAGCGAGTGCATGCCGTACCACAACAACATGTACATGTAGCACAAAAATAATAATGTCGTGAGTGCAAGTCACACATGTTTTACACTACCAAATGCAGCCACCGACATGCATGTGCGTGTCAAAAAACATTACAGTGCAAGTATGCATGCAATGTACACGGCAGTACGCAAAACACTGCAAGATACGGAAAATCAGAAGTCTGAGTACGCAAAACAGACTCAATTGGTGGGCAGCTCTGTACTGGCCTGTACGGAGGGAGTGAATCTCAATGTGTGCAATGCACGCACTTTGGCCGACAGTGAAAACTATGCAAGTCGTGTTGGTTTGCAGGATGAATGTGAGTCCTTTTAGACAAGCGCCTTAGTGGAGTAGCCCACCGAAAGAAGAGTACTTGACACCGCGAAGTGGAGTCTGCGCATACAACAGTGAGGGGGTAAAATTAGCTATGACTGATTCTGCATGTGTTCTGCATGTGTGTCACATTACACTAGCAGATAGGCACACCTGTTGTTCCAAAAAGATGCTTATGTCAGTGTCTGAATATGTCGTGTACCAGGTAATATTGTTGCCAGGATCTCACGGTGAGAGTCAGACTTGAATATGATATCAATAGATTATAAATATCATACATCACCATGTACCACCCAAAGTATAATAGCCGAAGGACCCGTTTGTGTGGTGGTGTATGATTTCGTGAGCAAGATGAAGTGGCTACAGATGTGTCTTATATAACACCCTAAGAAAAGATCATCAATTCTGGGGAAAGTGATTCTGGTAGCATGTTGTATCCAGTGTGGCATGACAAAGACTCCCTCGATTTAGCCTGTGGAGAATCCGTAAATACATAAATACAATACATACAGGCATCGCAACCTTCGGATTATATGCTCTTTTGCTTGCCTCCTGGAGTGTGGTTGTACCTTGGTTCACTGTATTAGAATAATAGTAGACTTTGTTTTTCGAATTCGTTTCTATAACATTAGGTTTCTTTCTGTTGCTGCTATGTCTTTTCATGTGTTTTACAGGATTGCCATCTGTTGATGAATACCACTCTGAGGCACTCTCACGAGCGAAGGTGTTTGAAAATCCATGTCGGAATGATGGTCATGTTGGCCTAAAGGTGCATTACATTGCCGATACTCGCCACCTCCACCCTGGAACATGTTCAATTTCTGTTTCTCGTATGGAAGGACCGAACAGGTTGTTTTCCTGTCTCAGTGGACCACTCAAGACTGAACAGCACTGATGGAAGAAGATTTGCCGTGAATCTCGTTCACATAATCAGCCTGTTTAATTGCTGTACTGAGGTGACTGCTTCATAACAATGACCATGCAGCATTAATTTTGGATAGTATTGCAGTGCCCCTAAAATTGGAGAATATCGAATTTCTCTGATAGCATTGTGATTCATTTGTGAATAAACATCACTACTCTTTTTGAGTAGCATAGCAATGACAGAGTTGGTTTAATGTATGACAAAATGGAGCCGCTTTTTAACTTAAACCTGTACTATAATCAGTACCGCCGGAAGCAGTTTTTGATTGGTCCGGTAGTTTCATGGCGGGTACACACGTCCTCCACGGTAGGAAACGTTTGTTGGTGGCCAACAAGTTGGTCTGGTGATAACCTGACCAACCAGACCGGCGGGCCTGATAATTGTGGGGCTCATGAGCAGCTCAAGTACTTAGTATGGTTTTGGACATGTCCCCAGTTAACCAATGAGAATAACCGGAAAACAAGGGGGGCTTTAGATACCGGGCTGACTTAACAAGAGGCAGGATAAGCGCGTTACCAAGAGTACATGTACTCTTGGCGTTACGGGTTGAGCTTGTCGAAAACCAATTGTACTTCATTATGTGTGAAGGGGTTTTATGAAGAAATATTTTATGAACCAGTGTACAGAGATGGTGCTTATGACGAAAGGAGAGAGGAGAAGTGTGTGAAAGTCGATAAAGGGCATCCGAAGGAACACATCGATCCTTGTTGTAAAGAATATTAAGTATAAATCTATGGTTGAAACCTACTTCCCCAAGCGTTCTCTGTTAAGTATAAATCTATGGTTGAACCCGACTTCCCCAAGCGTTCTCTGAGGGGACCGAGGTCTACTCTATCAGTTCATGTATTCTGTGAAGTGACATGACCATTCGTGGGGACCTTGCTCATAACTGCAAAAGTCCTCGTCTGATTTTTCCGCATCAATTGAACGTTATACATGTGCATGTAGTGAAAGCCACATGCAAAAGGCTGTTCCATGGCACTCATCTGCCACCAAGCTCTGGGTTCATTGGCTGAAAATATTCTTCGGCACAGTAAAGTCGTGCGCCCAAGAACGTGGAAGCCTACAGAACATCCAACCTGGAATACTAAGAACACCACAGCCCAAAATTAAGAATTGCGGTGTAGGTTTGTGCTGTTGTCAAACACCGGGATTGTTATGTTGCACATGTATCTGAGCTTTACCACTACATACACGTCTGTCTTTACACAATTACCAATCTGCAGACAGCATGCTGTTTCGTCCTTTAGTTACTAATGGACTCATCAATGCAGCACAGAGAAAATGAGGCAGGTGAATGTCCTAGGCTAGAGAGCATCAAATACAGGTATAGAATCATGCCTTGCAGATCTCGTTACGGCCCCTTCGATGCATGTCTGAACATTAGATGGCTGTGTAGCTTCAGTTATCTCAGAATATGTACTATTTATCCAGCAGCAACAACGTTGGTCACACAACTATTCACTATAATGAGTATGCGTTGGAACACTTTACCCCGAGTCATACTATAGCAGTGTATGCCATGCATGGGTTTACCTCACACACTGAATTTCATAATTTGACATCCAAATCACAGAAGAGTGGTGTTCCAAACTTTACGTAATTGCACTCCATGTCCTGCGAGCTACAGTAGAATACTTCAATAGAAAATTTCTTATAGCACGTTCTTAGAAACAAATCGTATAGGTTCGAGGCTGTCAACCCAGAAATTTGTGATTTCACAGCCATAGATGTTACCAGTCAGGTCACTGTATACAGTAGGTATGCAGAAGAAAATACTAGTAACTCTTTGTGGAAGAGCTGTGCCAAAATGTGTACAGTACAGTAAATTAATAAAAAATGAGAAAAGCAGTGACAAGGCTGTGCATGATGTAGATCTACTCGTACCAGTAAGTACAGTGCACCAGTGAAATTGTTGGTGTAGTACCGGTATACTACTATAATTATGGCATGGCCCATGCCACTACAATCTATTTGCAGTGGGCCGCAGTAGGCCAGTGCAACAGAAAGCATTTCAGAAGCTGTGTGCAATGTTAACATCTATGACATACAAGTAAACTGCCATATAGCACAATCGATTACTCTCAGCCCACATAAGTACAATGTAGGCCAATCAGTAGTATAGATACATAGAGCACACTCTACATCATACATAGTCGGCACCAAATCTATGTTGTCGATGTACTTTGCAATGATGACATGATGGCAAGCGTGCTTGATTCATCATAATATTGCCTTGTACTTGGTTGGAAGTTAGTTGTAAGTTCAGTGGTCGAGGTAAGCAGAGCTGCTCCAGCTTTCAGAATCCTGCATGAAAAAGGCAGAAAGCAAATGTAGGTATAATAGTAGCAAGCTGATGTAAAGAGCCTGTCTTTCAATGCAATAATTCTATCCACTGCATGGACAGACCTGGTGCTTCATTCACCTCTGTTTCTTGCTTTCTCAGAAAACCTACTTCCTCCTTCAGCCATCTAGCTCATGATATACATTAATTTTTCTTTATGCCTTTTCAGCCGTGGTCGACTTTCGCCCCTCCTGTTTGATTGGCAATTGCAGTCAACCTGGGGAATACTGACCCTCGATTGTGAATGAGAAAAGTGTCGCTATTCGCATTGTTGTTACTCGTGAGGTTGGAAGTATGCAATCAAATGTTCACTAGATCTGAAGATTGTGTCGTTATTTGCGAGTTGTTTTGTAAACCCGAGGTAGATTATTCACAAGGTTGATTGTACATGCTATGGGATGTACAATAACTAACCAAACAATAATGGTGTAACAATGATTTGAGTCCATATCCAATTGGATGAACCTAGAGTGCATGATCCATTCCAGAAAGGCGACTTCAGTGAGTCTTGAATTGTCAGCAGCATCATACTTCCATCGAGCTTTTTTTCTTTTTCGAAACGACCCTCTCTTTTCAATTCGAACGAAGGTCAACATACGATTATGGCAGGCATGCACGCACTGATCTTCACTGTATACATGTGCATGTATACTGTACTGTAGTCTGTGCAGTCAACTAGTCGTGTTCCACTTGGCTTACGGTAAGTATCACTACAAGTGCATAGTAGCCCCCCCCCCCCCCCACCCCGGGGAGTGCGCGTGAACGGCAACTGTGAACTGGTAAAAGAATTATTCGACACCTTCGTTCGTTTCGATGGAGAAGGTTCATCTGGCAAATTGAGGCCTTCGTTTCACTCCTAGCCCCAGGAGCGAAATTTTCACTCCTTGGCTGCCTGTTTGAGCCGTCCTTGTGGAAGGGTTGATTTATGCATGCCCGCATATACATGTAGACCTTATTCAATAAACGTCACAATCACGTGAACCAGGGTCCCGGGAACCAGGGAGCGGCAAGAGACCTGCACTCAGTGCACAGTGGACTCGGCGTGGGAACATAGGAGTAGAAAAATACCGGTATTTTACTACTCCCTTGTACGAACTGGGCCTTTCTTGCCACTCGTTTCACGTACGCGTGCCCCAGCTTACAACAAATCCCTGGAGGCGAGTCCAAAAATCACGTTATCGAATAAGGTCTATAGAAACACAGATCACGTAGAACTACCCCATCCGGGGTCACAACTCACAACGTTTTGGGTACTTAGGTATCATGTCGTCTCCCCAGGTGCTATGAATCCCTGATGCACATGTATCTACATATACAATGTAACCGTAACTCTACCAATATTGCGGACGATGACCCTCCCCCCCCCCCCCCGGCAAACAGAAAGTCGCTATGTCCTGGCCGAGTTTATCTTTTAATTAAATGGTTTTCTCGGTTGGGATTTCATACCTGACAACCATCCCGATTTGGCCGGGACCGTCCCGATATCGAGGGCGGTAATAGTAGGGATATCAGCGAACGCACTGCGCAGCCCATCTGCGCAGGTCAGCCTGGCCCATCTACGCGCGGCCGACAAGAAAACTCATGAACACTTTCATTTTTTTGCAAAATAAATCGTGCGAAGAAGATGCACGGAATGGCTGAAAACTAGGCTGAGGAATAGTAGCATCCAGAGACTCTCAAACAAATTCATGGTCAATCGCTTCTGACAATGGCAGCGAAGACATCAGGGAGCTGATTGCAGCAACTCTCTACCAAGCGCGATGCTGGTTACTCACCAGGGCAGGGCGCTTCCATCGCGCAAGAAATGGCCGCGAGCGAGAAATGGAAGTCCGATTTTGGAACGATCCAACCAGGGAAATTCCTTGAAAATTGGCCTGAACACCTCTCATACTGGTGTTTCACGATGTGCAAACTTTCAGAGAAATCGACCGGGGAGAACGTGGTGAGTTCGTGGGTCCTCGAGTATCGCGTATGATTTGAATGGTCGCGGGGACAGAAGAACAGTAATTTTACGACTCCCAGCGGTGCAAACAGACCGCGGCCATGTTTTCTCTGTCGGCCGCGATCACGTTCAAAAAATCGATGACGCAATGCATGCGCAGAGGCCTGCGCAGTGCGTTCGCTGACATCCCTAGTAATAGGCACCCAAAAGTGCACTAGTTCCATGCCTCACCGCGAGCTTCTTTTGTATACATTTTCATGCCTAGGTATGTCATTGGATCTCAGGTTTGCAAAGGTTGGCAGGTATGGGATTTGTAGAGTGACCAGTTTTGACTATTGCCACCTGCTGTGCAGAAGTGTCATTCCTACATCCTGGCTGCAAACGTACCCCCCCCCCCCCCCCCCCCACACACACACACACCACCACCAACAATGTTCGATCCTATTTACAGGACCTCACTCTATATGAAAGTGTAGCAGAGGCACTGCCAAAGTATAAAAAACAGCAATTGAAATGCAAGCTGCATTGTGCATGCATGGAGGGCATGGGGAAGAGACTGAGAGGGTGAAAGTGAAGGAAATTTGTTCCGAAATCAAGAGAATCCGAGGAACCCTTGCTGCATTCTTCAGTTCGATAACGTCAGTGGGTGAATCTCAGATGTGTTGTGTGCCCAGACATACAAGTGCAGCACTAACCTGAGCATGAGAGCTGCTTGTCATCATCGTGGTCAGGAAAACGAAAGGATGAACGAGGAAGATTGCTGACCATGCATGACGAACAACTGCATATCTAGACAACAGACGGCTTGCCAGAATCAGTCTGGTGTATCTTCAGGAATCTTCTTTCCTAATCGCATTCAGCAGTCAGCTTCGAGGTCAAGAACGCGATGATATTTTCAGAAGGAATAATTTTCAAAAATTTTAAATTTTGGAGAAGAAGCTTCCTTTCTAAAAAAAAAGCGTTCCTTGCTTTCACGCAAGGAGGTGCCTTGCCGGACATGTCGTCGACAGCACAGTGTCGGCAGATCCACGTTTGTAGGCTGCAGACCCGGCAGACGTTTTGATCATCCCGGCCTGGTGGTGAGATTTTGGACCCGGGAGTACTAAAAAGCTGCTCGCATCCCAGGGTGCTCAGTTTCGCTCCACCCGCGCGAGTAGGAGTCCAGGTAACGGGCTCTCTTTCGCGGCCTGCCGAGCATAATATACCTCACTCCACAGCCACCAGCGCAAAGCGTTGTAGGCTGCGGAACGCCGGCAGGGAGAGCGAATGAGACACTTCGCCGTGACCCAGGTAGTAGTTCGTACAGTGCAGCACGAGTACTTGCAGTAGACTCTATTTTTTTCGCGCATCTTTTTCTGGAGAAAGCGAAAAACATAGGAAAGCGATGCTGCTTGCTGAATGAACAAGACGATGGATTAGTTCCTGAAAGTCACTCTACTTGGATTGATAATGATTTTGTTGAGGAGCGGTTTGAATTCGTTACTTTTCACGACAGCCTGACGCCAGCCTGACTTCTGGCTTGCAGTAGAGCTCTCCTTCCGATCCTGTCAATGGTCTCAGATTTGAAAGAAAAATACTCGAACAGTGATATCTATACATCGCTTGTGGAAGGAATGGGCGAGTGCTGGCAATCACTCAGTCTTCGCAAGTAGAGAATGTCCCTGCTGATTACCAGCTGAGAGACAGCTATTCTGTGCTGTGAAACGAAGGGACGATTCTTGAAGTGGAAGAACAATCGTACATGTACTAGATGTGCTGATCTACTTGTATGCAATGTCACCCACAGTGTGTACAAACCTGTAGGCTAAAGCCGGTGTTACACTGGGGTTTTCTGGATCTTCAAAGCACCAGAAGTAGTATGTGTACTATTGAAAGCGCCCATTCCGTCTTGGAGGTGTGCATCACATTGACATTGTGCATGCGGTCTTTTACTAGTACATGTGTTTGGTCAGAGTCTCATCTCTGTGTGTGTCTGTCTCTCTGTTTGCTTGTGTGTCGGTGTGTGTGTGTGCGCGTGCGCGCGCATATGTGCTTATGTGTCTTCATGTGTGAGCAGTGTGTACTTTGAATGTGCCGTGTCGTGCACAACTGTTTTGTGTGTGTATGAGCTTGCAATTGCCTTGCATGCGCTTTGAACATGTGTTCATGTACGTGCTCCGCAGGACTTGTGATTTTGCCTGACCTTTGAAACCAATTGGACTGCCTGCCCTGGCAAGGGACTCTTATTGCCTAGCTTCTTGTTATGGCGGCATCAACAGTAGCACGTAACGCCACCTGACCTGTCGTTGCTTCACAGCTGCTGCTTTCTCACTCCCGCTGTATCAGTTCGGCGTATTGCCCAGCTGCACCGTGTAGCCGTGTTGTGAAACAGCATACCGGTGCTCCCTGCTCAGTAGCTGTTGTCAGTACCAGGAACTTGGTGAGTGTAGCGGACACAGGTAGTGGCGAGTACACTGCGTCGCTGGTGACACACCGTCACTGGAAATGCCCCGCGTCACGCAGTGCAGCGCGTCACTATTCCGCTCCACCACGTGTCACAAACGCAGCGTTGCAAGGGCTGCTAGCGCAAGTGCAGCGTCTCCAGCATGCTAGCAGGAACAGCGCAGCAACAGTGGCGGAGCACTGAGCCCGGAGCAGAGGTCCCGATTGGCTTCCGCTTGTCATATGCTGTGCGCTGCGATCGGGTCGTTGCTCAGCACCATCCCTTACTTGCTGCAGCAATGTTCCCGCTACAATACTTACCCGGGTGTAGCCAGCAACGGACTGCGATCTGGTGTATCCATATTCTCCACGTGTACATTGGTGCTTGATGACATCATCAAGTCACTGCTTACCTCATCGAATACTAGGAGAGATTTCGCACAGGCTGTGTCAGCACTTGAAGAACATTCAGAGCTGCTCAGGGATCACGCGCAGCTTTTTAAAGTCATTTACGCTGTCGTGCAAGTGGACAAGACTGGCGACCTGATCGTTGATCATACTCAGTTTCCGGACGACTTTCTGGACACTGCTGAGAGTATGGAGCGGAGAAGCTTCTATGGACGGTGCCTCGGCCTTCATGTAAGTCACTGTGAGAAGTAAGGTGACATTTGTATGTGTGCTCCGCGACCGTAGAGTACAATAGCTGTCCGTGGTCTTTTAAATATTCCTACCCGATCCCCCTTTGGTGCGTCCATGGAGATATAAAGCCGAGACCTCTGGTCGGCGGAGCTTAATGGGCCCCACCACCACACTCCATTATTCGCCCCATTGTCTGGAGATAATGTGGATTTTGTAGAGAGAAAAAAGAAGAAAAAAACATCCGAGTTTCAAAACAAACAAACAAAAGTTTTAGCATGCCATGTGCGATTGACGTTGACGATTTGTTCTGTACCATGCTCAACACTCTCTTTTTGCTGCAGAGTGCCAGCTCTGAGCCTTCTAAGGCAGTCATCATTCACTTCCATGGTGGAGGGTTTCTGGCGCAAACGTCACAGTCACATGTGGTAGGTCATTGGAAACAAATGGGTGTGCTTTGCTGCCATGCTCCATCCATTTCTCCGCTGCCCTAGCCAATAAAAAGATACTGTGTCATGTGTGTAACACGGATGTGCACCAGGTTTTCATTTGGCCCCATATACAATAGTACAGTATTGCTCCATGACATCCAGTCGCGTCACTCAAGTACGTGCCGGGCGTTGCGCAGCCCTAGACCTGCGAACACTGGGCTGCGAAATGGTGCACGGCGCAAACTTGACTCACGCGACCGAATTTCATTGAGCAGCACTGTACATAATATTAGTATACCCTATGCATGTGTCTTCCTTGTGGTGTATTGTTCATGCAGAGCTATCTAAGCCACTGGGCCAACCAGCTCAACGTTCCCGTGGCGTCCGTTGACTACATGACGGCCCCCGAGCACCCGTACCCACGTGCCGTCAACGACTGTTTCTACGCGTACGCCTGGGTGCTGAGGAACGCCACCGGCCTGGGTACCACTGCCGAGAAAGTCATCCTGGCCGGCGACTCGGCTGGAGGTAACTTTGTCTTCGGAGTGGCATTCCTCGCTGCGCAGTACCAGCTTCGGAAGCCGTGTCTGGTTCTGGGCGCGTACCCTGCTCTGAAATTCTCACTGGATCTGTCACCGGCACGCTGCCTAAGCGTAATGGATCCGCTGTTACCCATTGGAACGCTGCGGGCATGTTTGAATGCGTACCGGGGGAGTGGCAGGTGAGATACCAGTTCTTCTTTTCCTTGGAAATTTCACTGTACAGTGCATTCCTGGGATTAGCACATTAGAATTGGCAAACGTGTTCATCTTTGGATAGTGACAGCTGATAAGAGGTGCATAGACTGTCACTCCAAGTAAAAATTCCTTCGGTGCAAATAGGATTGCCCATTTCACAATATATACCCTTACCTTGTAATGTGAACAGTCGGCGTGGAGACAGTAACTTTTAAAACTATAGCTAACGTGGTTGCGGTATTGGTGTGTGACAAGCGAGGTGGCATGAAATAAAAGTTAGGCTTCAACATTAAATACCCAGGGTCTAACACCCTTTTCTCCTTTCATCGGGTGTGGAGTGCTGTTTCGACGACCCTGCGTATCCTTTCCCAGACCTCATGTGTGAAGTACCTCACCTGTGAATCATTGAGGTGGATGTCCCCTACTGGCCCTAGAGGTACGCTCAGGGAGTACGTAAATACCGGTGTTTTTCTACTCCCTGATACGTTCTACTGAAGTTTGACTGTATGCGACGTAGTGACAATGATAGGCGTTACATTACTTTGTCCACGCCAACGTAGGCACCTTCTCTGGGAGGTTGCTCAGTTCACCCAATGTGAGAGCTGTTCGCACAATATGGGACGGAATTGGCTGTAGGCTGCAGTCTCCCTCTGCGTGCGTGTGTGTGTGTGTTTGTGTGTCCACGTGTACTACGGTGAAACTACACCAAGTCACGTTCTTAGCACATCGACAATCAACTTTCACACTTCATGTCTTGTGCTTATGCAATGTGAAAGAACCTACAGTGCTGCTCAATGAAATCCAGTCGAGTCACTCACGTACGTACTGGGTGTTGCACTAGACCTGCGAACATTGGGCTGCGAAATGGTGCAAGGCGCAAACTTGACTCACGCGACCGGAATTCATTGAGCAGCACTGTACTTTAAAGTGCTTTGCTGTGACTTTGTCACTTTCTGGTTAGCTGTGATTTTGTCACTTTCTGGGTAGCTGTGTATGCTGTGCACAACCGGATTTCATTGAGCAGCATTGTATGGTTTTGTCACTTTCTGGGTAGCTGTGTGCACATCACCTCAAGCTTTGATTTTCATCACCTGGAATTGAAACAAAACTGCGTCGCTTCCTTTGTCTTGCTTTCTTTATCTGATGCAACGTTGGTGATGGATGAGGACAGAGAGCTCTGTGACTAGAGGCAGGTGTTTGGTGGACGTGGACCGTGTGACTTGCCTTTGCCCTTGCTATAGTCTCCTTAAAGTCATCGGAATCCACTCTCTCAGTCTCTCTGTGCTCGCACTGCTAGGCTATGCTGTGGATGCACTCCGCAACGCTGATTGCTCCGTGAGTACCAGTTCATGGTGTTCTTCTCTTGTCCTGTCCAGCACGCCAGAGTATCACCCGAACACCGGTCACCTGTCACAGCTGCAGTCGGGCATCCACCACTGTCATGCCACCATTCTGAATGCTTCGCCGGCTTACCTCTCTCCACTGCTGGCCAGTGATGAGATGCTGCACAGCTTACCATCGGTTGCATTGCTGGTAAGCCACTATAGCACACATGGCAGTACGGTATGAGCTATGCATTCACATACCAGTAGCTGAGGAGTGCTAATTCCGTACTTATAGTATTGACAAGCTAGCCTATTGATCAGGAACTGTCCGCAAATACACCCCTGTCCAAAACTCTTTCGAGAAGGAACCTTTCCGATGC